CGAAGAAATTTTGTAAAAGGACCACAATGAGAGATATGAACGGACGTTACATGGTGAGACTACCCTTCAAAAGTGCAAACCCAGAGTGTTTACATGGCAATACGAGAGAGATAGCGCTGAAGAGGTTTACATACTTAGAGAAGAAGCTTTTAAGAAATCCATCTTTACGTGAAGAGTATACAAAAGCTATCGATGACTATTTGATTCAGGACCATATGGCTCCTATCGTTGAGGAAGAGCAAGTGAAAAATCCGACAGTAGTGTATGCTCCTCACCACGCAGTTGTGCGAGAAGATAAAGAGACGACCAAAACGAGATTGGTCTTTGATTTTTCATGCAAAGGGAAGAACAATGTTTCCTTAAATGAAGAACTGCTCGTCGGTCCCAAGATACAGCAGGAATTACGCCATATCTTAATGAGATGGAGACGACACCCGATCTGCATTGTGGCGGATATTAAGCAGATGTATCGCCAGGTAATAGTCCAGGAGCCAGATACTGACTTACAGCGCATTCTATGGAGATCAGATCCCAAAGAGCCAATACAGCATTTTCGAATGAAGCGACTGGCGTTCGGTACGGCGTCAGCGCCGTATTTAGCGGTTAAGTCTTTGCAGACGCTGGCAATGGACGAGTTTACAAAGTATCCTGTAGCATCTCAGATCACACTTGAGGACTATTACATGGACGATTTGCTATCGGGATGCGAGACTTATGAGGAATCCATAGAGATTTATGAGCAAATGACGAACCTGATGAGAGCCGGAGGTTTCGAAATGCAAAAGTGGTGTAGCAATAATGATCAGTTACTTGAGCACATTAAAACTAAGAATTTGCGTACAGATAAAACTATTGGTTTCAAATTTAATCACGTGGTCAAAGTATTGGGTATATCTTGGAACAAAAGCACTGACAACTTCGAATACAATTTACAACTTCCTATGAAAAATGAAACAGTGACTAAAAGATCTGTGTTATCTGAAATTGCAAGACTTTACGATCCAATCGGGTGGATCGCACCTGTGATATTTGTGGGTAAAGTCTTCATCCAAACACTTTGGAAGTCTGGTCTTGATTGGGATGAAAACTTGCCGTCGGAACTCCTCCGTGAATGGTGGAAATTTAGAGACGATCTGGTAAATATTCCTAGGCTTATTGTTCCAAGATGGCTGCAAACAAAAAGAGAGGATCATGTTGAGCTACACACCTTTGCAGATGCTTCCCAAGCTGGATATGCTGCAGTTGTTTACCTGAAAACTGAAGACAAGGACGGTAAAGTTGCTGTTAACCTGATTACATCCAAAACTAAGGTGGCGCCAGTTCAAAAAGAGATATCCATACCGCGCTTAGAGTTGTGTGCTGCACTTCTTGCCGCAAAGTTAATACATGAAGTCTCCCAAGTTATGAAAATACCAAAGGAAAAATTATACGCCTGGTCGGATAGCACCGTGGTGCTGGCATGGATTGCAGGAGAACCTCACCGTTGGGTGACTTTTGTGAGCAACAGAGTATCAGAGGTACTTACGATACTGGATAGAAGTCAATGGAGACATGTAAACACAAAGCATAATCCGGCCGATTGTGCATGCCGAGGCATAAGCAGTGAAGAGTTGGTTGATCACGAGTTGTGGTGGCACGGACCCACATGGCTAAGAGACAACAAAATGTATGAGAGTCAAGGCTGTCAAGAATCTGAGATTGCAGAAGAAGAAAAGGCTGTCAAGTCTTTGGTGACTACGATACAACCAAAAGACGTTTTCCTTTGGACGAGATTTTCTTCGTTACCAAGGTTGTTACGCGTGATGTCCTACTGCAAAAGATTTTTGAATTTAAAACTACCAAAGAAACAAAGACTCACCTTATCGAAGAACGTAACAGCCGACGAAATGAACACGGTGATGAGACATTGTATAAAGGAGACACAGAGTTTATATTTTGAGGAAGAGATCAAGCACTTAAAGGCCCACAACTGGGTCCCCAAGAGGAGCCGTTTACATACTCTGAACCCGATTCTCGATGAGAATGGTGTGTTACGAGTAGGTGGACGCATTAATGAAGCCAAGGTTGGCTATGACACTCGTCATCCAATAATTATGCCTAGTGAGAGTCATCTTACAAGACTCATAGTTGCGGATGCTCACCTTACAACGCTTCATGGCGGGCCACAGTTGATGCTTAATTTCTTAAGATCAAAATACTGGATCATTCGAGCGCGTGACCTGGTGAAGAAGCAGTATAGAACCTGTGTGAAGTGCATAAGGTATTCGAAACAAAACAACAATCAGCTGATGGGCCAAATTCCCGAGGATCGTTTAAAACCAACGAGACCCTTCAAGATCTCAGGAGTTGATTTTACGGGTCATATTAATATTCGTTTTTCACCTGGACGGGGAGCAAAGTCTTACAAAGGCTATATCTGTGTTTTTATCTGCATGTTTTCAAAGGCGGTACATTTAGAAGCAGTGACCGATATGACTGCTAAAGGCTTTATCGCAGCCTTCAGCAGATTTGTTTCACGGAGAGGACATTGTAAGACCTTGTTCAGCGACAATGGTACTAATTTCGTCGGCGCCGATAAAGAGTTGAGGGAGAGTTTCAATCGCGCTGTATCACAGCTGCCGGACGAAATTAGCCACTTACTTGCTAACGAAGGTACGACATGGAATTTCATACCTCCACATGCTCCCAACTTCGGAGGCTTGTGGGAGGCCGGAGTTCGATCCACTAAAACGCATTTAAAGCGAGTGATAGGAGATTCTACACTCACATATGAAGAGCTTTCGACTGTCTTAACTCAAATTGAGGCATGTCTCAATTCTCGTCCACTTTCTTATCTCAGTGATAATCCTGATGATCCCTTACCATTAACGCCTGGTCATTTTTTAGTTGGGGAGCCACTTATTGTAATACCCGATGAATATTGTACTAGTAAAAATGTAACTGGTCTTCAGAGATGGAAATATACTCAAAAAATGGTTAACGATTTTTGGAAAAAGTGGTCTAAAGAATATTTAGTAACTTTAAATCAACGCTATAAATGGACAATGAAAATAACTGAGCCAGAGATTAATGATGTTGTTATAATTAAAGATCATAACGTACCCCCTGCAAAATGGTTGTTAGGTAGAGTTGTTGAAAAACATGTCGGTAAAGATCAGATTGCACGTGTTGTAACGCTTAAAACTAAGAACGGATACTGTAAACGGCCGTGTAACAAATTATATTTGCTACCTAAGTCTGTAGACTAAGCTTAAAATTTTGTTTAAGTTGTAACTACAGGGTTAGTTTGATGTTAGTTTTGGGTTTTTTCTTTAGGTTGTGTACAATTTTATGTGTATTTTTTTTAGTAATTTAATTTATTCCTTTACTTTGAGTGTGATCTCATGGTGATACACCGGTATGTAAGCCCAGAGCCTAATTATTTCTATAGTTTCTATTAAGAGTTTCTATATTGTTGTGTTCCTTTATAGACCTTATTTTGGTTTGTATAAATTTATTTTGTGAAAGAACGGAGTCCTTTGGTGGGCGGGATGTCTAAAAACATTTCAGTTCTAATAGTTCTACTCTAACCTTAGTATTTAGTACTTAAAAATGTCAAGAGAGGTCGCTAGCGTCGAATTACAACTCGTTATCTTTTCGTTCACGGCAAACCGTATAGGGTCTGAGAATTATTGTGCAATAAAGTTGTTTCTCTACTGGTGACATCTGGAGTTTAATTTCAACATCCGCAAGTTTAGACAGATTCCTTAATATGTTTCCATATTGATAGTATGGTTTCATATCTCATCGTGATTTTATGATTTTACAGAAAAATAATAAAAATTGGATCGGCTTACTTAACAGTTGCTGAACGCAGATAGATGTCTCTCCTAAATAAGTCACGGTCTATATATTTTTATGAAGTGAAAACTTCTTTAGTCTGCGTTGAGCGATTTTTGGTAGGGAAAAACTTATGGGTTCGTGTCACCGATGACCTCGATATGCTCGTGACCTATGGCGCTTGCGCCAGACTAGCGACGTGTAGTATAGCGGCCTGTGTACATGTATACACATATATTATATACGCATATAGAGTAGTGACTTAATTTCCAAAACACAGATTGATTTGTGCTTCAGACAACTGAAATGATCCAAAGTAATGTGAATGGATACCTGTTTCTCGTTAATGAGGGCATCCACGACTTTTTTTGCCACCAGGGCGGCGCCACTAGAAAGTGAGGTATATTTGACAAATTTCATAGCGGGGAAGTAAATTTATTCGGAAAATGAAAAGGTTAATGTTTCTTTCTGCACTATTAGCTATATTTTATATTAATAGGTTTAAAACCACTGACGCATTGTTTTGTGTATTAATTTAATACTCTAGAAACTGATAAACTGTCATTAAAAACCAACTTCTTAATTAAATTACACTGTATAACAAAAAACTTTGCCCCAGTGTCAACTAGCGACATCTGGTGAGCAGAAAATTATTAGCCTTCATTCATCTACACTCGAGTTCAGACAAACTAGTATCTCATCTCCGACTGATCAACCTAGCAATTGTATTGTAAATCGTTTTAAAAATTTATCAGAATTAAGAATACTGTGTGAATTCTAACATAACACGTCATTATGTAACGACCTATATATACGAACGACTAGCGATCCGCCCCGACTTTACACGGGTGATATCTGGAATTCGACAACAGCGCCACTTACCAGGTGCAATTGGGTTTTTAAGCCATCCAGGGACGCATTCAAATACACACAAAAATTCATCAAAATCGATCGAGCCATTTTAGAGTTTTTGTGAGACTAACGGACAGTAATTGATTTTTATATATAGAGATGTTAACCAATGTTGCTTATTTCTTCGATTTACTAGCTAACTTATTATTAGTGCTTAATATGTTGCTTAATAAGATAATAATATATCATAGGTGATATGCGTGATAATCATCGTGTTTTTGACACTATAAGGTGCAACCGAAGTAACCGATCCGATATTATAATACCAGGCGAGAGCGTGGACGACTGCGGCGGGGGCTACAGCGAAAGCATCGCGGAGATGTGCGAAGAGCTGCAGAACGGCTCGCTGCCCCTACTGATGGCGACGCCCAACGGACGTGGAGACGCAGGCGCTTCGCGCGACGCCTTCCTACTCAACCCCACTGCCAATACGCCGCTGCACCTTAACTGCTTCCGATTTCTCGGTAATTGTTGTCTCCACTTTTATACACATATAATTTTATATGCCATATATAAAATGTGTTAATTAAAGCAAGCCAGGTCAAAAGATTAGTGGGATTATTAAAAGTAACCAAATGCTTCAATTTTTGGTCTTTCGAGCCAGATTTATTATTTATGTTGTAATTATTTTGTATATAATATATTCACAAATATGACGTACATTATTTTTATATCAAACACATTCGTTAAGCTAAGCCTGTGCCCTTTATCATCTTTGGCTAAATTCTTATTATAAGTAAAGAAACTTAAAGATTTAGAAAAAGTTTTTTCTTTACGACCTACAGATGGACATGGGTTTATCTCATTCAAGACAGGGTTTGTTCCTACCTATTGAATACACGGGTTCTGTATAGTTGTTGAAATTGGTATTGGACGTGTGCAGGCGTACTGATGGGCATCGCGGTGCGCACGGGGTCACCGCTGTCGCTGTCGCTGGCGGAGGGCGTGTGGCGGCAGCTGGCCGGGCAGGCGCTGCGCCCGCAGGACCTCGCCGAGGTCGACAAGGACTTCCTGCCCGCGCTGCTCTGCATCCGCGACATGACGCCCGCCAACAAGGTCAGCGCGCCCCGCTATGCAACTTATGCGACCAGAGTCCGCAAGATGTTCCACCACTTCTGAGTAATCAGGATATGTCAAAACCACGGGAGACGTGTTATGTTTCTTCTCTATACTCGATTCCGATATACCTCATGCCGTAAAACCAAAAAATACAATATAAAGCTGCGAGAAATCGATGCAATCATATGGTGAGAAGCAAAACGTCTACGTTGATCTGGTACTACTAAACGCCGATATATCCACGAACAAGTTCTTAATTCATTTTCGGCTGATATATGGAAGTTTCTTAATACGCTTGGATATGGAAAGCCTTTATTTTTCCCATTCCTAAATCCATCGATTGCAGCGCCATTAATAAAAATAATGTCATACCATTCTCTCCCCATGTAAAAACTTGGTCTGTATGACGATGGTTGCTTAAAACATGGAACAATCATATACAGGAGGTGAGTCACAAAACTACTGGAACTTTGCGATCTCTATATCGATTAAAAAACTTTCTTCCCACCAATACTAAGATTTTACTTGTCCAGTCACTTATTCTACCGACTATAGATTATGTCGATGTGTGTTGCTCAGACCTGTCTCAACATCATCTTAATACATTGGATCGTCTGCTTAACAACTGCATCAGATACATTTATGGTCTTCGTAAATACGACCATGTATCTTCTTTTCGTGCTCAGCTAAATTGGCTGCCTATCTGTCAGCGCAGATACGTTAGAATACTTTGCACGCTTTTCACAATTCTGAACGATCCATGTGCTCCCGAGTGTTTGATATCGAAATTTCAATATCGAGTTTTCTCCGTTCTTCGGCTAATCTTAAGTTGCTCACTCCTTAACACCGTACTGGTTACTTACCTCACGGCCATCATATTCTGGAACAACATCCCTCTTGACATTAAAAAAGCTCCCAGTTTGTTGTTAAAAATTAAGTCTGTAAGCATGTGAAAAAATCGTTGCAAGTTTGAACTAACACAACCCTTATTTTCATATACATATGTGTATATTTCATATTTGTTCTGACATAGATTATATATATATTCTTTTTTTTATAGGATAAAGGTAACAAACGAGCACACAGTCCACCTGATGGTAAATGGTTGCTGTGACCCATAGACATCTACACTTATCTTCGATTACGAATGAGAATGCAGATGCGTTGTCACCCGTGAGGACTAAGATGGAATGCCTCATTTCCAGTAAAAAGGGTCTCCGGTTCTCTACACTCACCATACGAAACACAGCAGCGTTAAGCTGCTATTTGACGCTGGAATTCTGTGAACGCGTGGTCCTTCCCCGGTCGACAATTCTCTTCCCCGGTCCCATTCGTGCTACAACCATAATATAGCTGCGGCATGGCTCTACCACGTATATATATATTAACCTTTCAATTTTGATTACAGCTGCACCGCCTCTTGTTTGTCTATCTCTGTTTAACCTAGGTTGACTGGGAGTGAATGCTCTAAGTCCTGCCCTTAAGTCCCCCATGTGTACAACTTTGTGCATGAATTACCTCCCCCCGCCACTCCTGTTGAAACTAATGTTTCTTCGATAACTTATGCTTCCAATTCTACACAGGAAAACAAGTCTAGAGATTGGCAGTTCCAAATATATTGCTAAATTTTATGAACATCTTAATGCTTTTCTATCGACAAAAGATATATACAAATTATAATTTAAAATTGCTGACACTTAGTAAAACTTTACTTCATCTAAATCTAAACTAGTTCAGTATCCGTATCTAAATTGTGAGTAAATTAAAATATAAAGGTAACAAGAACATGCCGTCGCTGCGCACCCGACAAATATTTTTCTTTTTGTTGAAAACCAATCAAGTGCATTAGAATCTGCTAAACACCTAAAACCTATTTTGCATTGATTCAACTGTTTACAATTATAGCAAAAAATCTTATGACATACTCAATGTCATAAGATTTTTTACTAAAAATTTTATGTAAATCACTTAAAGTTAAAACTGAATGTAACTATTTTTGTTACTACTGAAAAGATAGATTTTATTAATTGTGGTGTTTTGCACGATGTGTCAATACAATTTATATAAATTGTTACAGGAGCTACAAAATCTGGAGCTGCCCTTCTCAATACCGTCCGCTGCAGGTCACGAGGTGCCGCTCTCTACGCGGCACAAGCGAGTCACGCCGGACAACAAGGACGAATACGTACAATTGGCGTTGCATTACAGGTGCGACGCGGATGGTTAAGAATTTGTGTAAAAAAAACTAAAGTGGTTGATTTTTGGTTTGCTTGTGCTGTGATTCCTCGTGTCTCAAAAATTTTTATATTATTTGTGGAGAGATTGGCTCGAATTTTGACATTGTAGAGTTTGAGTTCAAACTCGAGATGTTTTCTGAGTACTAACTTTAGTGTCTGCCTCCGACACCTACGGAGGAGTTCTAAAGGTGGTTGTTGTAACCGAAAGCTATTAGGATCACTAGGCGTGTTTAGGTGTAGATTCGAGTAATAAAATGTATTGCATTATAAAATATCGCCTCCGACCAATAATTAAGTTAGACGGAGTGAGTGGAGCACTGAAGTGGAGTCAAAAGAAAGGAATACCAAATAGCAAAATAATAGCTGTCCACAGTGTTCACTAATGCGATTCGGAGAGTACATTATAGTACAATTGCTTCAACAAAATTTTATAATTATGTAGATGCTACTGTTCTATAAAAATACTTATATGAAAGTTCATCAGTCGGTCTTAGAAAAAAATCTAGATATGTATTTTGGTATTCTTTTTCGTGACTGTTCCACTCACTCCGCCTACGTAATTGTTGGTCTTGCTTGGGAGGGGGATTATAGTGCAACAAATTTTACACTCAAATCTACTCACGCCTAAAATGATCTCGTATCTTCTTCTTTTGGTCTGACAGTACACTGTTGATAGTTTCCGTTGAAAGCGACCAGAAGGATATACGAGCGCTGCGATTGGTTCCTGTGGCAGGCTGCACGAGTTCGACGAGCAGGTGCGCGCGGTGCGCGACGGCGTGTCGCGCGTGGTGCCCGCGCCGCTGCTGGCGCTGTTCTCCGCCGCCGAGCTGGAGGCGCTCGTGTGCGGCTCGCCCGACATACCCGTGCACGCGCTCCGAGCGTCCGCCACTTACAAAGGTATCTCACCCCGCCCTCCCAACTGAACTTACAGTCCACCTGACGGTAAGTTGCTACTGCAATAAATAAAATAAACTAAACTAAAAGTAAAGTTTGTTTACATAAACATCATACAAACATCATAAACTTCACACGATCAAACATCCAGTCCCGGAAAATTGTCTGTGGGCCATAAAAATACTTGTTCCGTGCGAAATTCGAACCCACGACGCCCAACACGTTGTCATCTTGGGAACTGTTAAGGGTCTGCAAAGACGCCAATACGTCAAAGTTCGTGAAACGTTTGACTTGTTTGTTTACGACAAAATTGTAAGGGTACGCTTACACCTAATCCGTCAACGGCCGAAGTTTGCTCGGGCGATGACGGCCGAACTCGGACGATCGAATCAAACACTTGTAAAAGAAAGAGAGTGCGTACATAAACACGACCATCATCGTCCGATGACGCTCGAAATCGGCCGATCAACCGTTGAGTCCGAACTTGTTGGGGTTTCTCGCCAGATTGTCGGCGTCTACAGTGCAAATTGAGTGTATTTATAGTTTAATTTAATCATTATGTCTTTATTCTGTTGTTTTTGTCAGTGTTGTTATCTACCTAAACAACTATGGACATTGAAAAATTAATTAGTTGTGTTTATAAGAGATAACTACAATAATCGAGAGGTTTCGAAACGGTTATAGGCTGAAGTTGAATCGGAAATGGATATAGCGGTTCCAGATATTTTAAAAAATGCGTCTTCACTCTGTTAAGCAACACAGTCAACTACAGAATACCGGCAACGTTCAATGTCGGCACTCGTGGTACACTGTAGCAGTGTAAGCACATACACGTCCGAGTTACTCGTTCGGGTAATTCTGTCCGTCATCGGCCGACAAAATCGGTTTTGGTGTACACATACCGTAGCAGATGCAATAAACTCGTCTTTTACGTGGCAATGTCAAAGTGATATAGTTTGGGGGTCTCCAATTAAGTACCTGGAACATGGTTTATGGTTATTCAATGCAAAACTAGGCACAAGAGAGAACGGTGAGCTGAAAGTAGGGAAATTTGGAATAGGGCAACGGAACCCAAGGGGCCAGCAGCTGGCCGACTTGATGGAGAAAGAAGGACTCTTTATGATGAACTCTTTCTTCCAGAAACGGCCTTCCAGAAGTGGATCTGGCCGAGCCCCGACGGTTCGACAAAAAAAAAATAATAATAAGCTTTATTGATAATTATACAGTGAATATGTGAAGTCTCTGATTGCTGAACTAGGAATTATACCTGTATCTCAGCAATCAGTGCCCTCTCCCAATTTTATGACTTAATAAATTAACAATAAAGGTTAAAAATAACAAGAATGTTTGAAAAGGTATAAAAAATAATATACTACTTAATTTATGTACTAAGTGTGTGTTGAGTGTGTTAACGTTCGTGTGTGCGTGTGCGCGTGTGTGTATGTGTAGGTGTGTGTGTATGTGTAGGTGTGTGTGTATGTGTGTATGCGTGTGTGTATCAGCAAGCGTATTTTTGCGTTTGTATATGCGTGTGTTTTACGTGTACTTATAAATAAAGGAAATAACAGGATTCAAAAAGGAAAAAATGAGATTGACTTCATTATGACGACCAGACGACAACTGTTCAGTGATGTCTCAGTGATCGCGAGGGTGAAAACTGGTAGCGATCACCGAATGGTTAGAGGCACACTGAACCTACATGTTAAATTGGAGAGGTCTCGTCTAATGAAGTCAACGCTCCGTCCCCCTCGTGCTCTGTTCCAAAGTCCCGAAACCTTTCAGCTCGAGTTACAAAACCGTTTTCAGTGCCTAGAAGACTGCAGAACTGATTTCAAAGAAATTTTGCACACTGTGTGCAGTTTGGTCCAACTTGAGAGATAGAATACTTTTTATCCCGACAAGTGACCCTCAATATTTTTTTTATTACGAATTTAACGATTTTTTCATAGGAAGGGTCATCGGAAAGGGCAGAACAAAGTCTGCCTGGCCAGCTAGTATAATATAAGATGTAACTTTACTTTTCATTGACTTACGCTTGACCACCGAACCAAGCTTTGAGATATTACAAATAGTAAATTACTACTCTAACCCTAATGTTCATCGTCAGAGCCCCTTGACACTATTAGTTGCTTTCTTGAAATGAAGACTTCTTTAGTATCGCTGTGATTTGAAACTGGAACGAAAAAACGACACTAAAAAGAGGCAATTGTATACATCTATTCTGTAGGATTTAGCCTGCGAGAGAATGAAATAGACTACAGTGTAGTATGCGACAGTAGCCTAATGGCAGTGTGCGGACTGCGAACTCGAAAGGTGGCGGGTTCGAATCATATGCATATTTTATTTTTATACTTACCAAATATAAAATATATATATAAAAACTAAAACGGAATTTGAGTAATCTATAATATAAAAATGAATCGCTAAATGTGTTGCTAAGTGCAAATCTCGAGAGCAGCTGAACCGATTTCGCTAATTCTTATTTTATAATATTCCTTGAAGTACGAAGATGGTTCTTACGGAGAGAAAAATTCGTAATAATACTTAAAAGTCAATTTGAACTTTAATACCATATCATAAAGTTTAAGTGTTAGTAGAGGGGTTCTGGGAAGGCAAAACAATTGAGTGACGTTAGTATCGTTGGGGCTTGGTTGTAGTGGTTGTAGTTGGCTTCTTGCCCACAGAACATCTGACTTCGAATGAAAGTGTTAACTAAGGTTTTCATAGATCCCCAAATTTCTGACAATACGTGTTTATTAATAGTTTATACTTGGTAGAGCCAAGCCAGCTATATTTTGGTTGGAGTACGTATGGGTTGTTATGGGCATAGTACAATTAACTTACAGTAGGTGGCGCGCGTATAGTACCGATGCATTTGTAAGTTATATATCATTCAACATCAATTAATGCATTGTCAGTCCTAATAATGTAACTCTTCCAAATTTAAAACGATATTACCACAATTATTTCTTTTGCGGCAGTAACGCGCCGGGTACCAGCTAGTTTGCTATTTGCTATTTTTTTAAATATTGTTTCCTATTATTTCGGTCTTCTCTTGTCTGCTTTATAGAAGATGGTTAATATGAACTGTTAAAATAAACTGTTAAAAATTTACAAATTTATTAGGTAAATAAAATTAACCACATTATAAAAGTAAAAAAAAAAACATAATATAAAAGTAATAAAATGTGATGGACATTGCATGCCAAATGGCGGAATGTAGCTGTACTAAATGTTTGTTCTATAAGTGATAAACTACGTAAACACCAACTGTATCAACCTATATTCGCAATAAACGATTTAAATCTGAATTTGAATAAAATTATCATATTCAATTCATTCATAACAATCCACGATTTCATTGCTTACCAATTTCAATTAAATTATTCGTGTTTATGCCATCTAGCATATCTTATGAACCACTTTGAGAGTAAACAATTTTAATAATACTAAAATTAATTCTAAAAATAAGGATACTATCATTTGTATATTTCTCTTTTTTATGTGTGAGGCGAGAGAACTTGAACCAAAGTGAATTTTATAACACAGGTATAGACCCGAACGCACCACTGGTGCAGTGGTTTTGGGAGGTGATGGAAGAACTGTCCGGTAGCGAGCGGGCTCTATTCCTGCGTTTCGTGTGGGGACGAACACGATTGCCGCGAGCGCCGCAGGACCCTAGACAAAGGGATTTCGTATTGCAGGTCAGTATAAAAAATTATAGGTTTCGTAGGTCAATTATAGGTAAACTTTAACCTGCTACTGCATATATACCATTTATTTACTGTTAATATCAAGGGTAATTTGTTATACAGGAAAAATAATAATAGTCCTTTAAAAATAAAGTTATAAAATTGCTATTTCGTTTGCTTAGATTGATAGATTTGTAAGTTTATTTTTCTTTCAAGTATTTTTGTTGTAACCATATACATACTTGAATCCTACAGATAGATATTATTTCATCAGTTACAAACACAAAAGTATTTAATTTTTAAACGATATTTAAGATTTTTTTAATATTTTAGGTACTTGATAAATACCAACCGCCGGACCATTTCTTGCCAGAGAGCTACACGTGCTTCTTCCTTCTCAAGATGCCAAGATACTCATGCAAAGCGGTGCTACGGGAGAAACTCAGGTAGGTACTGATTGTTGTATATCCCCAAAAAGCGGATTTATTACAATAGTTATTTACGTTTACAAATAGCACAATAAGGTTTAGAAAAAATTGAACTATTTCATTATATTTTCCACAGATACGCGATCCACTTCTGCAAGAGCATCGACACGGACGAGTACGCGCGCGTGGCGCTGAGCGCGGCCGAGCGGGTGTCGTCCGAGGAGTCGGACTCGGACGACGCCGCGCCCCCCGCCCCCGCACCCGCACCCCACCCTCCCGCGCTCTACTCGCTCACGCGTCCCCCCACCTGGCTCTGAACCCTCACAACCCTTGACTAACGCACCGTATACGGCACCAGTCTCAACCGATGGACTGTTGGTAGGCCGTGTTTGCACATTTTTCTAACCAATCATACACTTGTAGGTAGGTAGGTAGGATTTGTATAGTGTTTGCGGGGAGTGGGATTGAAATTGCCGCCCTCGTGCTTTATCTTATGCCACGAAATAGGTCTAAAAATCAATATCGGCCTTCTTACGCCGTGCCACTTTACTGGGACTAACCCTCCTCAAAACTATAAAATAAAAATGTACCAAATGAACAAAATTAATACAACGGGGTATAGACGACTATATAACCTTTCTTATCTTTTAAATGCGAGATTCTACTGTTTTAAAAGTAAAATAAAAGCCTAAATTATATTCTAAATTTAAAGTCTCATAACATCTATACTGATCGAATATATCACTCATCAAACAAAATTACATCTAAATCTATTACAAACAATATCGTATACAACTATTATAGTTCTTTAGCTTACAGTTTTCATTTCACGACTACATTTGTATGAGCCGTAACAGCATCTGGAATCTGGATATAATACTTCATATTGTGATAGGTTTTGGCAACTCTAGATACCTATGATAGTATAGTTTCACTTGACAAGCACTTATATAGAAGTAATAAACTTCAAGTTGTAGAGTTATTTCTCTTAGATTGCCTAGTATATAATACAAAAATTGAATCTCTAATACATCGACGATATGCTATGATTATTTGTCCTTTGAAATATTTTCATTTTTAATGAATTTTGTCTTGGATCGTGCGTTGAGGAATAAGAATGAAACTTAAGACAGACGGCAGCGAGATGCAAATATTACTTGGTTCTTGCCGATTATTGCTTACTCTAGCTAAATTGTTTTATACTGAAAGTAGTATTTTTTGTAATCGATCAAAACAATTTATTCAAAAGCATTTATTCTACGTGGCACCCGCCAAGCTTATCGTAAAAGTAGGTAATAAAGGTAGACCAAACAAAAATAAGTGCAGTTAATAATCCTAATAAAGTTTCATATTGTTTATTAAGTACATATGGCAAGAATTTATATGGTAGATTACACTATAAACGAAGGACGAATAAATCTTCGTGGTAAAGTAACAACAGACTTACACTTTATTTTAATTATGAATTTGCGTAACTAATATTATGATCTCATAAAAGATTGGCACTCGACGACCAAAAATTAAATTTTACTAATTTCTGATGTTTCATTTTGGGAATACTTACTCTTTAGTATCATTCCACACTTGTATTATCCATTGCAGTGTTTGAAAACTTGCGATACCGTGGTATAGAGGTCAAATTTTGTCTTAAAAGTTATGAATATGTACATGATTTCGTGAGGTATATTATATTATGCTATGTACTATAGAAGACGACGCGAATCGTGAGCACAAAGTGATAGTACAATATAGTATTATGGACAAGTTTGCGCATGTTCATTTCCCAGCTATTAAATTCTTGGATAAAGTATCACATTCATAATTAAACTGTAAGCGAATGACAAGTCCCGTTGGGTTTCTTGCTGTTTCTGTCCAGGACAGAGGTATTTCCCGAACCAGTGGCAGTGGCGTAACTAGGCGTGAGCGAAGTGGGCCCTCGGCCACGGCCTCGCACTTAAGTGGCCTCGCGAGGCCCCTTTAAGTGTGATGTCCCCAGACTTTACCACAGATGACTAATTAATTTGATCACTTTTACGATTTATACAAATTTAAAATCGTGTTTGTTTGGGGCCTTAAGTGTGACTGCGAGGCCGTTGTAACTAAAGACCGCGACTGTTAGATTGACGGAATATGAGACTTGTCAGGAATGAGTAGGTGTGTCGTGTCAAAGCATGTTTGGTAAGATAGATCTATTGGATAGATCTTGGGAACGAAAGAAAAGGGGCCTTCCTGATGCGACTTCGCCCACGTCTATATACCAATGACGTGAAATAATGTTCACCGTAACCTTGTACTTCGTCGAAAACCAAAAATACACACAAATCGACTAGTGCGCAAGTCACGGTTGTGCTCACGATTCGTGCCGCTATTTGAACTCGTGATTCTCATTTATCACTTACTCATCCAACTTTAAATATCCAAAGGACCTACATAAAACATCCTATTTAAATCGGTGATATTAAAATTTAATAAGACAAATAATAGGCGTGGTATAAAATACTCATAGCACATAAATAATCTTTTGTAATTAAGTAAAAAAAAATGTTTTGAAATGTGGACTGCTGAATTTGGAACTTTTAAAAATAAAGTCGATTTGGTCACGGCCTCTAGTGGAATTCTACTTGGAAAGCATGAAGGTTCAAAAAACGTTTTAATTTTATTTATTATTTGAGGCCTTATACATTTTAAGCAATTTAGAATTACCTAGTATTTATGTTGTATGTCTAATTACAAGGTTAGTAACGTAGGTATATGATTAAATTAACAAATGCGCCAAACATCATTGTTGCATCATGATACTATTTGTAAGTTAATTTTTATATGAGTATTTCAATACAACTATAAGGAATGATTACGCTTTACTAGATCACAGTTATTTGCTATAATGTTTACGACAAATATAAAACTATGCAACGAGAAGGTAATATGCCGTCATTCCATTGGTATTGTAACATTTGTGTGGTTTTTAACTTTGTTTACAATTTATATACTTGATGTTGTATAATTTGAGAGCATGAGTCAAATTAGATTGTGTTGCTGGGAGTGTGAACTTTTGAAAGCTAGTCATAATATTTGATGGTGAAAGGTGATTGTGTATTGAGGGCATCCACGACTTTTTCTGCCACCAGGGCGGCGCCACTTAAAATTGAGGTATATTTGACAGATTTCACAGCGGGGAAGTTAATTTGTTCGAAAAACGTAAAGGTTGATGTTTCTTTCTATACTATTAACTATATTTGATATTAATAAGATTAAAAATAAATAAACTAAATCTCAAATATTCATAAAAGTTGAAAAATTAAAGAGCAAACCAGGCATGAGGCATTGTTTTGTGAAACTAGAAACTGATAAACTTTTATTTAAAACTAACTTCTCAATTAAATGACATTGTGTAACAAAAAACTTTACCTCAGTGTCAACTAGCGACATCTGGTGAGCAGAAAATTATTAGCCCTCTTTAATGACATGTGATATTGGAGTTAAATAATTCTTGTCAGTCTAATTTTATTTACAGTATTATTATTATTATTATTATTCACGTATCTTTAGATTTATGAAAACTTTGGTGATAGTGCTGCATTATTATAGCGACACAATAAAATGTTTATGCTTTTGTATCACAACAGTTATTTATTATAAATGCTTATATTTATGGGTTACCTCGAATGTAGATTTCGGTGGATCAGGTTCTATAGATATTGGTGCTAGTGCTTCGCTGTTAGTAATAAATTTTGTACTGAAGATATATGCCTGCACCCAGTAGTCTGAACTCATTTTGGTAGTTGGTTAATGATGCAATCAGATTGATATTAGAGATTTTACCTATTACTCACTTCGCTTTTCCTAACAAGTTTACATGACGTCTAAATAGAAAACAATCCACAAAACGTATTCTTTAAATATCAAAAAATAAATCCATATTTTTTTAAGACTGTCCTTTCTCGATTATAAGATCTGTAATTTGATGTCTGTTTAATCTGTCCAATACTATTTATTTTCTGCATATTATGATGTATACCAATAAAATTGAAATTATTGAAGTGAGTTTTATTATCTATTTCCTATTATAAGTTTAACTATGCTACTCAAAAGATACGTTGGAAATCCTACACCACCCCCTGGTGTAGGATTTCCTACATGTCTGTCTGTCACTCAAAAGTTGCTGGTGTGTGGTCACTCAAAATTTAATGTCACATTATTCTGAATTCTACGTACACATAAAACCAAAATATGTACTGATGTACTTACGAAAACCAGTCGTAGGATCGCGAAACGCAGCCATCGCGTCGAAGACCAAACAGGTGACTAAACTTAGCTAAACTAAACTTCAAAAATTGTAAAGGCTAATGTATAAAACGTTCGTTTGTTAGGCGCACGATTCATGCAGCCCGGTTTGGCGCAGTGAAATAGACATTTGAGTATTTTAATATTTTTGTTAAAAGTAAGACGCACAATGATTTCAGTCAGGTTTGAAAGGGATAGTGAGATTTTCACAGAGAAAGGGGAATTTCAGAATACGCCAGAAATTGACTGATCTACAATGGCACCAAAAAAATTTTAAGTGCTGAAGAACGTGCTCGACAGTGAAGGAAAATGGCGTATATCCCAGCTCTATTAGATAGCCAGTAAAATTACAGATTGACAGGTATTCCATTGTAGTTCTTAGATGTGTCAACGCACCTTTAGCCTTTGTTTGAAATTGGTTACTACACACTTATTATCAGGTATGCTCTAAATCAGTTTTATAAAAAAAAAAGTCTTACCAAACTACTTAATAGTAAGTCTTTTTGGGACAAAAATTCCCAACAGGCTAACCAGTAAGTCTACCAGGTCTTCCCGGTAGACTTACTGGTTAGTCTGTTGGACTAGATGATATCAAAAAGATGGAATTTTTGTTGGTAGTTGATATTTTTAGTCAGTGCTTACATTAGTAGTTTTTATAAATACGAGTATGTATTTCATGTAAATTAATTTGTTAAGACTACTAGGAATATTTACATTATGACGATCAGACGACAACTGTTTAGTGATGTCTCAGTGATCGCCAGGGTGAAAACCGGCAGCGATTACCGAATGGTCAGAGGCACACTGAACCTAAACGTTAAGTTGGAGAGGTCACGTCTAATGAAGTCAACGCTCCGTCCCTTTCGTGCTCTAATCCAAAGTCCCGAAACATTACATCTCGAGCTACAAAACCGTTTTCAGTGCCTAGAAGATTGCAATGCAGTGGACGATATGAATGACAAGCTCATGGAAACTGTCCATGCGGTCGGAGCTAAGTTTTGCAAAACCCGCCGCAGAAGAACATATAAACTCGCCGATCACACTATTAATCTCATGGCTGTTAGACGGGAAATGAAGCTGCAGTCTTCAGTAGATTTGACAGCATACAGGCAACTGAACAGACAGATCTCCAAATGAATGCGACGTGACTTACGCAACTTTAATACTGCTCGTATTGAAGAAGCGATCGAGGGGAACCAGGGGTCCTAATTCTTTGCTAGAGATCTGTCTGCCAGAAAGAGCCAACTGTCGAAGCTCAAGAACGAGTGTGGCAGCGTCGTTTCTGGGACACCTGAGATTTTTAGTGAAATTGAGAGGTTCTACGAGCAGCTGTACACATCATCGTTGGAGCCACACTCAAGTGTGAATAACGATCCAAGAGCGAGTCTTATCCGACACTATTCCGATGATATTCCGGACGTCAGTCTGAGCGAGATTAGAATGGCTCTCCAGTACCTCAAAAACGGCAAGGCCCCAGGCGAGGATCGAATTACAGCGGAGCTTCTGAAAGCGGGTGGAAAACTGGTACTTGCAGTCCTTCAGAATCTCTAATTCCGTCCTCCATGGTGGCACTACACCGGAGGCGTGGAGTAGAAGTGCGGTGGTCTCGTTCTTCAAGAAAGGCGACAACGCTCTTTTGAAGAACTACAGACCGATTTCCCTTCTGAGCCACGTATACGTGCTGTTTTCTAGTCATTACGAATCGACGACTTCCAGCCTCCCGAATAAGCCAGTTTCCGAAAAGGCTTTAGCACCATAGACCACATACATACCCTTCGGCAAATTGTACAGAAGTCCGAAGAGTACAATTTGCCACTATGTTTGGCGTATGAGGACTATGAGAAAGCCTTTGATTCAGTCGAAATTTGGGCGGTGCTGCAGTTCCTTCAGCGGTGGCAAGTTGACTGTCGGTATATCGAAGTGCTGAAGTGTTTGTACAATAGGGCTGCGATGGCTATCCGAGTACAGATTCAGAGTACGAATCCTATCCAGCAGATAGGTGTAAGACAGGGTGACGTTATATCCCCGAAACTCTTCACCGCTGCATTGGAAGACATTATCAAGCTCCTGGACTGGAAAGGATACGGTATTAACATCAACGGCGAGTACATCACTCACCTTCGATTTGCCGACGCTATAGTTCTTATGGCAGAATCGCTGGAGGACCTAACCACTATGCTCAATGAACTCAATAGAGCCTCCCAACGGATAGGCATTAAAATGAACATGGACAAAACAAAGATCATGTATAACGTGCATGTCATACCTATGCCGGTAGTTGTTGGGAGCACTAAGCTCGAAGTTGTTGACGAGTATGTTTACCTATGACAAATAGTCCGACTAGGTAAGTCTAACTTCGACCGAGAGGTCAGTCGACGGATTCAACTCGGCTGGGCAGCGTTCGGGAAATTACGGCACATCTCCTAGTCAGGTATACCTCAAAACTTGAAAACGAGACTGTACAACCAGTGCGTGTTGCCAGTGATGACCTATGGAACTGAGACGTGGTCCTTCACTGCTGGCCGGATGAGGAAGCTCTAGGTCTCTCAGTGAGCTATGGAGGGCTATGCTCGGAGTTTCTCCGCGTGATAAACTTAGAAACGAGGATATCCGCAGTAAAACCAGAGTGACCGACATAGCCCAACGGATTAGTAAGCTGAAGTGGCAGTGGGCCCGGCTATTTAGCTCGAATAACCGACAACTGATGGGGAAAAAAAGATTCTCGAGTGGCGGCCTTGTACTGGCGGACGAAGTGTAGGGCGTCCCCCACTAGATGGAGTGACGACCTGGTAAGGCATGCAGGACGTCGATGGATGCAGGTGGCTCTGGACCGTTCTTTGTGGCATTCCTTGGGGGAGGCATAGGCCTCCCCCAAGGAATGCCACAAAGGTTCTGAACATAGGTTCAGCAGTGAACTTGAGAAGGGCTGTAATGATGATGATGATGATGACTAGGAATATGCCAAACCATCATTAGGAAACCTGCATACCTGAGATGTTAAATAAAAATTATTTCTGATTTAGGCTATTGTAGGTAATTATTTCACGCAGGTAGCAAGAGTGACAGAGGCCTGCCAACAGTGGGACTTATATAGGCTTATGCACCACATCGGCCACTTAATAAAAATAATACATAAATAATTATATAAAATTAAAAGAAAATGCAAATGAACTCCCTTAGACCACTACCCATATTGTAAATGAAAATAAATTTGTTTCACATGATTTTAATTTACACTAAATACACCTTGCACTTAAATACCATAATGCATTACATGAATATCTTTTAAAAATAAAATTGATACTTCTTGAGTTACTTCTTTGATTTGGGTTTCAAAGTGAAATATAATATTATCGCGCCAAAGACTGCATATGTCGCTTTCGCCGTCTGGAAAAGAATTATAAAGCTAATTAATAGTAACGAAAATTATAAACTACCATTGACGTGACAAATGAGCACACAGTCCACCTGATGGTAAGTGTTTACTATGACCCTTAGAAATCTACATCTATCCCCAATAAAGAATGAAAATGCAGATGCATTGTCATCCGTAAGGACTGAGATGGAATGCCTCTTTTCCAGTAAAAAGGGTCTCCAGTTCTCTACATTCACCATACAAAACACAGTAGTGTTAAGCTGCTATTCTGTAAGAGTGTGGTCCTTTCCCTGGTCGAGCCGACCCATTCATGCTACAACTATATTACTAATATAGCTGCAGCATGGCTCTACCACGTTTATTTATTTAGTTGTATTATATTAAGGTGTCATAGTTAAGCAAATAATAGTGCAGTTAACCCCAGTTAGTTTAATATAATTTATTTACAAAGTAAAGTTATAGCCAATATACATCCCACAATGGGGCAAAGGCCTCTTCTTAATTCTGAGTGTTTTAGGGCAAGTGTCCACCCGTGCTGCCCCAATAAGTGTTGGTACTTCACACGTCTTTGAAATTTTTTATTTTATTTCTTAGACATGCAGGTTTCCTCACAATTTTTCCTTCATCGCAAAACAAATGGTAAATCAACACTTGAAATTGTAAATAACAATTTCATTGGTGCCAGCAAGGATTGAACCTGGCTTGATTTCTGTGAAATTAACAGAGAGCACGAAGCCCCTGAGTTGCCACGGCTCAAAGTACGGCACAAAGTAAATGTAACTGTAAATTTTTAGTAATTATTTTTTGTATAATGCTTAAAACATACTACTGAGTAGTCAAACAAGAAATAATTAATAAAGTATATAAGTGATAGCTCACAGTTCACTTGAGCACATTAAAGTTTTGTGTGCACTGTGTTTTATTTACAATATGTAATTTTTTTGTAGAATAGACACACACACACACACACAATTGTACTCAAACACAAACATGCATGCAAAATGTAGGGTATGGGCCATGTGTATTTAAAGGATGGTGACGATTATTACTATACCCTTATGCTTAGTCGGCTCCGTGGCGCAGAAGCTTAACAATCAGTTGTTGCGCTGGGGGCTGCGGGTTCGAATCCCGCACGGAACAAGTATTTGTATGGCCTACAAAATAATTGTTCTGGGTCTGGATGTTTGTCCTTGTGCAATTTATGTTTGTACACTGCCTCCACAACTGCTGTGTGGGGGTAACGTTTTTAAAACGAAAATAAAAGACAATTATTTAAATATTCAAATTATTGATTGTTATAATTCTCGTCTCCATTTTGCATAGTTGCAAACTTTAGCAAAAATCTTTAATTATGGACTGCTCAGAATATAACACCTAAGCTAAATTTGCCTCTGGATAGTGATAGACTTTTGTAAAACAGTAAACTTAAGCAACTCATGCTATTCTTACACTTCTATTGATTTCATTTTATATACTACTAATATTTTCAGATAATATATTTAGCTAAGTAAAAATAATGTATATGGAATAATGGGACAGAACTCAACTGTTCTAAAATAATAACCAAAGTGTTATAATCAACAAAATAAGAGATTCATTTTTAATATGTTTTCCAAATTAGCTCAGAACATGTTTGTCATTCCTATGGGTAGCCTATAAACTGCAATGGGTTATAGTGATGATGATGCATTCTAAAATATATGCAGAAGCCTAAAAAAAGCTTTAAAATGAAGCATTCGGTACCTTAAACTTTTTATGGGTTTGGATTGAGATGTTGAAAAAGAATACTATAAAACTACTATTTTTTTATCAGGGTCAGTTTATATTTCTCAGATTCCTATATTAAAACAGAGTGTAAATATAATTCTTACATACCAAAAAAGGATTCATATTCAAAGACTTACATTAGCCCTCCCTCGGTTAGTATGGCTGTTGAAATACTTGGATAGTCCCTTGAATTGGGATTCATCGACGGAATCTCCGGCCATTCTGAATGATAGATATATTTAAATAATTATTGAAATTACCATTTATTAGTAGCTTTGTACATTAAATATAAAAGTAAACTTTACCTGTTAAATTTTGGGACTTATGTAATTATAACCTCAAGCCAGAACTCAAGATTATAAATTATTATCTTTTTTCCTAGGAGTTGACAGATGACTGAACAGAACAGTTCCGTTTCATATAGCTTCATATTATACATTTTGAATCAAAATTTTTTTTATAGTCTTTAATATCATATCATGCTTTTTTCTTTTTACAAATGGATAACATACATCTCACAAATTACTTACAAAACAATATAATCAAATAAACAAACATGTTCATTTATTTTATAGTGCGCCTAAGCTTCTCGAGTGCGCTAGTACTTTATGAGGTTTATAGTTTTATAGTTCTTGGTGATCATGTCAAAATATTAATCGATTATATTGTTTTATTGCATACTTGTGTTTTTGTTAAATACAGATATAACGTTTTATTTATTTTTCCTTCCTTTTTTGTTTTTTGATAATTTGTAATAAATGTAGTACAACGCCACAAGAGACATGGTTACTTTTGATACCTGAAATGGAATGCGAATAATTGCGTTTAAAGCTGTGACGGACTAAGTACAATACGATATCGATACATATATAATTTATATTGTAAAATATATTTTAGAAATTCATGTAAACTTCTCAACATAATGATGTGACAGATGTTATCCATAGATTATATCTATCTGTTTATCCAAATCACAAAAAAGAGACTGGAGTTTCACATTCTCTGAGGAATTGTTCGGATTAATCCCAGCCGCCAAATTTCATGAACGCACATCGCGGCAGAACTCCCGATACCATCCACATCATCTGGATGATTGGCGGTCCACCACTGTGCGATTTAGAAGATGTTTTCTTCCTCGCACGACTTCCTTGTGGAATCGATTACCATCAGCGATTTTTCCGGACCGATACGACTTAGGGACCTTCAAGAAAAGAGCCTACTCCTTTTTAAAAGGCCGGCAACGCATCTGCAATTCCCCTGGTGTTGCAGTTGTTCATGGGCGGCGGTAGTCACTTACCATCAGGTGAGCCGCATGCTCGTTTGCCCCCTCTCCTATAAAAAAAAATCACAAGTATAAATTGTATTCATGTAAATTGCCTACGATGTAAAATGATTACAATATACTACACTATAATATTACTTTTTAATACAGTTGCTCAAAAAGTGGCGTATTGCAGGGACGTATAGCGTTCGGGATGTGGGCTATTACATACTCGAGCTTTTTCTTTACATTTTCCGAACTCGTGTGTTCTCTTTCCCAGCTGTCAAAATAATGTCTATTAAAAAGAAAAAACGAACGACGAAGTTTTACTAAAAAAAATTCATAAAATTTTTATGATTCATACAAATACTTCTAAAAAGAAGCTACTAATTTGTTTCAATATCAGATTTAATGATTTGATTCAATGAGTTAGGTTAGGTTTCATTTCATTTCATCTCATTAAATTTCATTTTCATTTCATATCAATAAAAAATTCTACTGAAGTTTTGGCTGTATGGGCATAGTTCCCTTTGCCTACCCACAATGGGTGAAGAAAACAAAAAAATCTCTGCTAATATTCTTTTACGGTTGGCGCCATTTTCCAAAAATGTTCTTTACGAGTTTAGTTGTTTGTTGCACAAAATGAGTAATTTCGACGATATTTTATTTGAATTAACACCACCGGAACTCAGTATAATTGTTAATTGCACAAAATGCTTCGGACAACATTTTACCAGAAAAGTTAAAAAGTCGGCAAACGCCATTGTATAACACCTTTGACAAATATACATGAACAATCATACGAAATTAATAATAGTTTGTCTCAAACAGTATGCAACCTAAAACTTTCCCAGTTAGTATAAAAAAATGTACCAATTTCAACGTATATGTGAATTATAACTTTTATAAGAAATAAATGATTAGTTAGTTGAGTTTATTGTGTTTTATTATTTTATTAAATTGCTTTATTTTTTCGCAACTGTATTAAAAATAGTTGTTCAGTACACGTGCGGAACCGTCATTGCAACTTGTTCCGACTGTCAATCCTCACCTTCGGCTATGCCTCGGCTCGGGTAGATATTTGTCGGAACTCTTTGCAATGACAGGCTTTCCGCACTCGTAATGAAATATACTATATTTTTATAGGATAGGGTGACAAATGAGCACACAGTCCACCTGATGGTAAGTGGTTACTGTGACCTTGTAGTCTTTGCTGTGACCCATAGACATCTACATCTAAAATAAAGAATCAAAATGCAGACGCGTTGTCACCCGTGAGTACCTACTAAGATGGAATGCCTCTTTTCCAGTAAAAAAGGGTCTCCGGTTCTCTACACTCACCATATGAAACACAGCAATATTAAGCTGCTATTTTACGCTGGTATTTTGTGAGCAAGTGGTCCTTCCCCGGTCGAACCGACCCATTCGTGCTACAACTATACTACTAATATAGCTGCAGCATGGCTCTACCACGTATAAAGTCAATTATATATATCAACTATGCAAACCAAATGCTTTGGTTTTCAATGTAAAGGCACTCTCTAGTTCAATTTTCTGTCGCGTTCTGTGCCTATCATATTTATCATAGATGTACCTGAAACTTTAGATTATAGAAAAAAGTTCTTTATAAAAATCTTTTGTTTTTTATTCTCAGCCTAAAACTACATATATATCGGGGTGATCAACTACAAAGTATTTTAAAACCATTACGTGACAGACAGCTAAATAGGCCATAACACATAACAGTATAATATTATGATGTTATCCGCCCGATTTATATTAGCATAATATCTATGATGCTAGCAGATAAGCTATCGAGGCCTCATTATAACCACAGAACTTTATAATTTGCGATTATAACTCATCGTGATTTTGGGTAATAAGCTCGCGCTTCACCTAATTCTTTTGTCTATCCAAAATTCAGTTTGAATTTGAATGTAATTTTTCGTAAACTATGGAATTTATAAACCTATTTACTATATTTAACAGCACGATATGTCCAGAGTCCTTGCGTTTAACGTATATTTGTACTACTTTCCATGGCGGCGCAAAAAAAAATCAATTTCTTTATATTATTCCGTGGGTATCGTAAGAAGCCAGGACAATGTCAAAAATTCCGCATGGCCTGGCGATAGATAGTGGTTGAGTTACTCCCTATTTGCTTGAGACCAGCGAAGTGAAGCAACGACGGCCAACCAAAGCTGTGGGATGCCTCGAACTGTGAATTAAGGTAAATCCTCCCTATCCCTCCTATGTGAATATTCGATGGACAGCAATGGACGGTTTATAGGATAATCACGGATATTTTTAAGGTTAATACTTCAATTAAACTAGTACGGTTTATGTACGTGGGTATTTGATATCTTGATCAAAAGATTTAATATGTTATAGGTACTAACATTGGCTCTTCCTCTGTCGGTTTGACTATTGAAATAACGGCTTAATCCTTTTAAATTTGGATCATCTTCAACTCCCGGGCCAGCCATGTAATCAAAGTTATTTTTAATGGATTTAAATGCGATATTTTATCTATCTTACGTTTAAGCAGTTACTTCCAAAATTTTTGACAATATAGTGCTGTCAGTTGATTTTTTTCGAAATAATACAAAGATGGCCTATTAGAATTCAGTGTTCATAAATACCTACTTAGTACAATTATTATATATAAAAATTACGTGTGACATTGTTTGTCCGTGATGAACTCCTATACTACTGAACTCATTTCAATGAAATTTCGCACACTTTGTGTAGTTTCGTCCAACAAACCCTTAATTTTTTTACGAATCTAAGGTTTTTTTATAGGACTAAAACACGGGCCACCCTTCCGTCAAAGTATAAGTCTACTATATCTATATATCGCGGTCCTATGCGTACAATAAAACTAGTTGCAGTCGCACTGCTCACTAGACTAAATCTAGTTGCGCGTCTGAATTGACGTCCTACAAAACTGCCGAATTATTTCGTTTTTTTTTGCTGTAAATTGAGATCTGCCTCGTCAAATTTACAAACAGATGGCGTTACGTTATATGAAGCAATAGTATTAATATTAAAATTATAAATAGCAGTAATAAGAGCATTAGTTTTTGCACAAAAACTGTTATAAAAAGACTGAAATCGGTCGGAATGAATTCACCAAGTGTGAATGCCAGAGGACCCCTTCTTGCCAAATGCCATAGAGTAGCTCGAGTTAATTTTGCTCGCAATTTCGAACGCTATTCATAGACGGGTCTAGATTTTGCCTGAAGTAAGATGATGCAAAGTGTGAAGATGCCCAGGAGAGAGGTACGCTCAGTGCAACATCATTGGAAAAGGGGCATATGGTGAAGGGTCAGTTATGTTAGAGGGAGGTGTTTGTATGGGGGCACGTATGAAACTCAGAATGGGTTACTAACAGGGGCTTTATATATAACTGAGATTTTGGAAGAAATTGTAGTGCCATTTGCCCCTTTTATAGGAGATAGATTTGTCTTTATGCATGATAATGCACGCCCTCATACTGCGGCTGTAATTGTCGAATAACTTCGAGACCTTGAAATCAATGCTATGAGGTGGCCAGCGGACTTGTCTGACTCAAGCCCCATAGAATTATGTAAAGAATAAGCTTGGAAGACAAATTAAGAAAAGAAATTCTGCCCCCGCTAATTTTAGCGATCTTAAAAACGCATTAGAGGAAGAATGGGACGCAATTTTTCAAGATTTTATTGATAACTTGATTATTGATGCCAAGGAGACTGAATACAACTGACTGACTGGAGACTGAATGATTTTAAATTAAAAAATTCGATATAACTCATTTTCTTTTCATTAAATTACGCATCTGTAAATAATAGAACATGTTAAGTTTCTCTGTTTGTCTCGCTCACACAGCTTAAAATTCGTCCAAACAATGCGAACAGGTAGTAAAGTAAAATTTTCAAGGGCGACAAATGTACTTACCTAATAAATACATGCAATATTAAAAAAAATATATCTTCCAATAAATTTGTAATTTTGTAATGAAATGCCTACTTTTGCACATTAACGGCTTCTCATGATGAAAAGCAAACTTTGTAAATGGTTGGCCACTCAGATCCCATACTGTATAATATGGACATTCCATACAAAATACTCATACATTATTGGTTCGAGACAATTAATAACTGCCGATTGAATTACCAAAATTGACACTTTAATTACAGAACACTAATTACAATTTAAAACCACACTAATAATAAAACACAATTGTACTACTGATCACTTTAGTTCGCAGTTGTTCCGCTTCGAAGTATTCGTTTATATCGCCAATTGAATACTGCCTCAGTCTCGGTCTATACCGGCCTTATATAGGGCCTCAGATAGTTTCCAGAACCTTCTACTGTAAAAACATCTAGAATGTTCGAGTAAATATCGGTCCCGATTGACTACTTTTCGATAGTTCCAGAAAGTTATTCCATGGAAATTTCTAGAAGGTTCTTGACACTCCTAGTTCTGCTACTCGATACTAGAGGGCGCTAGTGGTAACTAGTGCCGTCGACGTAGTGGCGCGCAACACTACCCCCTCCTAAAACATGTTCGTCCCGAGCATTATTGGCCCCATAATATCGCGCCAGTATCCGCCAGTTTCCCTGCTGCTGTTGGGCGGTGCTGTTAGTCGCACTACCCTCTTGAGATCGGTCACCGCCCCTTTCTACAGTTCGCTTAGGGAAGCTGGATCGAAGATGGCCCCTTTCCCCACAGCCGTAGCACCTAGGACTGTATCCTTTATTGCGGTCGCGAACTGTAGCTGCTGAAACCTCCCTGACGCGATGGGAACGATGATCCTGCAGCACGGTTTCTACCTCCAGTGCATGGGCCAACGTGTCCTTAAGCCTCTCGTGGTGCCCGAGCCTCACAGCAGCTCTGACTTCAAGGTCGCGGATGCCGTCGATGAATGTCTGCACCAGGTTCCGTACAATGAGCGCAGGTTCAGACTGGTATGCTTTTCGAACCAGCTTCTCCACCTCAAAGGCCCACTGCTGCAGGTTTTCGTTTCTGCGTTGCACGCGATCTTTGATCTGCGCACGAAAGACGTGTTCCAGGTGAGCTTTGCCATATCTTGCCTCCAATGCCTCAAGGAGCTGCTCGTAAGTCACTTCCTTACCGAGAGCTTCCAGAACAGTTACGGCCTTGTCGCGCAGGCCTAGGGTGAGAGCATTCATGGCCTGACTTTTATTCCAGTCATTCGCCTTCATGACAGCCACGAACTGGGTTTTGTAGGCCGACCAGGAAGAAGTCCCCTCGAACGGTGGCACTTTGAATCCACGTTGCGAAGGTGTTGTAGTTGTAGCTACCACGGAAACTGTAATTCCATCCCCAAGTTTGAGGTCGTTCAGCGTTTTCTTCACGTCTGCAATCACGTTGTCAACCCGATTGTTCACTTGGTCGATTCGGCTTTTAGCTTTCGACAGACGGTTGTCATGTTGAGCAACCCTATCCTTCACCTCCCTTATCACTTTCCCGAAGGTAGCGTGAAGGTCCTTCCTGAGGAGCATCTGCTCTACCATACCGCGCTGCAGCTGCTTTTCCAACCGACGGTACTGTTCCTCCTGTCGGTGGGCCTGCTCCTGCAGCATCATCATCAGAGCACCTAAGTCAGCTGCTGCAGATGCAGGAGCTATTGACGGGCTGGCCTCCGTGGTCGGCAGCTGGCCCTCCGACGTCTGCGACGTTGCACCACCAAATCGTCTCTGGTCCGTCCCCTGTTGGCGTTGACTTCGGGTACGAATACCCTCCGTGTCGTCATTAGGTAATATATATCATCATCATTATAGCCCATCAGAAGCTCACTGCTGGACATTATTTACTCCATAGATTAGGAGATATATTTCCTCCATAGCATTGCCGTAAAACACTCATCAGTCACTTATCAAAAAAGAATGAAAATATAAGGTGGCACATATTTTGCTAAAAATTAAATTAATATAATTAATTATGTAGAGTAACACTTCCTTGGTGCTGATGTTAAATAAGTTATTTCTTCAGGATATGTTCTAATTAATTATATGATCCTACTAGTATATTATATGGAGGTCAGTGCAACATATGCATGTAAATACTCTTAAGCTCTCAGTTGGTCTAAGTTGACGTGTGATATATTGCGCACGGCGCGGCGCGGCACATCACACATTTCGTTTTAAAATTACAGCCTAGTCAATTTCCACTAGAAGAAAATAAGAAAAATAAATATATTCAAAAATAATTGGACTACATACTGTCTATAGTCATATTCATTCACTGACCTCCATACTTGTATCATAGAGGTCAGTGTATTCATGCAAATGACAAAGCCTAAAGATATAATTTTTAGGCTTAATTTTGACGGGTTCTTATTTGTCACAAAATTAGGTAAATGAGCGCTGTCCGTTGCCTACGTGTTTTGACTTTAAATTTAACTCCGATAGATTTTTAACTGCGTGTTAATACTTGAAATGTACTTTTCTCTTATAACGAATAATTTTTCAGTTGAATAAATAATATTGTAGTTTATACATCAGTAGAAACCTTATTAATGAAGTAAAAAGACGGGAAGGTATTAGGGGCATGCACTTAGATTTCCTAGTAAAGCATGTATGTAGTAATCAGCACTTACAATTGCATTTAACAGTTTCATTGGTGCCGACGGCGACGGGTATCGAAACCGGGTTGCTAGCGCACTATGAAATTTACAGCGAGTGCTTATCCCCTGAACTATCATGGCTTTTGGTACTAGTAGAGACTGAACTTTGTTTGCCCGGGTACTATGAAATATAAGGCAAGCGCTTAAAGGTAAACCTAGCAGCTACATTATCTCTGACTTTATACACTATAGTCTAGTCAACTAGTGTATTTTTGGTTAACTTTTTATAGCAGTCTCGGAAAAATATGAACCAGGTGTCATTCGATTCGAAATAGCATGTACATGATTTTAGAAAAACAAAAATAAAGTTCTTTATTTTTTTCAAAAATCATCTACACGCTATGGCGAATCGAATGACACCTGGTTCATATTTTTCCGAAAATGCTGAAAAAAGTTGACCAAAAAGGCACTTGTTGACTAGCCTACTAAAGTAATTATTTCCTAAAATATTTCATGTACTTATAAATATATTAATTAATATACTTGACATTAAACATTGTTTAAGTTTGCCAATGCGAACATATTCCTTCAATTATACTAAAAATCAGCCCATAAGTTTCCTGTTTACAGGATGTCGACTATGGATATATCTTCTGGTGTACTTCGTGGAAGGTCCTGTAGGGGTTTTGCTATCTTGTGGAGAAAATCCTCTTTTCCTGAAGGTAGTGTGATAAAATGCACAACAGTGTTCGTCTTACAACAAAATGTAAGTACTCCACGATCGTACGTTACTTATATTTGAGTGATAACCTGTTTGTGTTCACTAAACGAATCGATGAAATTAATGCTATTGTTGAAAGCTATTACGTAGAATATGTGTGGCTACAACGCCCATCTTAATGACTTGATGAGTAATTTTTCATGGATTTGACCAACTTTTTTGTAGAATGTTCGTCAGAGAGTGGTATATTCCTAGATCATATTTCTATTATGACGTAGAAATCCTGTCGAAAGACATGTTTGCCTTTGTCAGTGAGACACGGATTCCGAAGGTGGCTTGACCATTATATTTGTACCACCACGGCAATAATGGTTGTAGTTAGTATGTCAGTGCTACACGACAATATGTACTTATCAGATCACTTTCCTGTTCTAATTGAATCCAATGTAAAACTAAAATAATACACAACCTTTTCCCGTAAATGTTGGAAATTAGTGACTAGGGATCAGACAAATTATTAAGTATTGTGAATTATGTAAAATAAAATTTTTGCTTTGATATGTAATTTCACAAAATGCTCTGATAAATTGTGAAAAAAATTGTTACCATCAATTATATTATTGGCAACATAATGTAATGTACAACATATAATGTACAACAAATAAAATGGACATTATTGTTGAGTACACTTTAACGTGCAAACCTTGGTAAAGTTTTCGCAAATAACATGAGTGGCAGCGTCCATACACCGTCTTAATGTACCTACATACTTGCTTGTGCAACTTTAGTTTGAGCAAATTAAGCATTTGTGCAAGCCATTTGCACGGTATACTGTATTGCCGGCTTAACGTGCATGCGGTACATGCTTGCTTGTGCAACTTAGAATTTGTGCAAATAAGATTGAGTGTAGCCTGGCATTATACAACTGGTAAAGGTATACATAATATACGGTAAAGGTGACGCTGTTTAAAGCAGACTGTCAGATTAGACATGTACTCTGTAAGAAGACTACGCGTGAGGCTTACAATTATGACCAAGTATGATCTGTGTGTTCGGTATAATAATGCGTTTAATTTTATATTATTTGTGTTTAAACAAAATGTCAATCGCTGTGAGAAACCAAAATGGTCAATATATTTTAGAAGCACAGTTTTCTATATTGTTACCTTACCTGTGTCTTCTTAAAACTATATACATCATACCTGATGCTGACTGTACATTTTATCGCAATACAAATGTTAATAACAACACACTGCGGTCTCTACAATCATTTGATATCCATTGTTTAATAGCAGCCAGCATGATAATGTTCAATCGGCTAATTAATTTTCGTGTAATTGCTGATCCAAATTATTCAAATCCAAATTAGCACAACACGTAATTCATTTCTCTTAAGAGTGAATTTTAAAATTAAAGGTTTTTAACAAGATGTAATTTACAGCTACTTTATTAAGTACTGGCAGTACTGGTAATTTGCTTTACTAGGTGGTAGGGCTTCTTTTCTGTCCAGGAGTCCATCTTGGTACGTACCGCCTTCTTACCTATTTCTGTTGCAAAATAGCAGTACTGGCACTGCTGAGCTATCTGAAGAATATAGAGATCTAGTATAAATATAGGCTGAGAGGCATTCTATCTTAAGCTTCGATCACACACAGTGAATATTCGCTGCGAGTGTATTCGCTGCGAATATTACTCGCAGCGACAATTCGCTGCCTGCCTGTCACACACAGCAAGTACTACACGAGAATTATCTATAACATGTATCTTTTATATTCTTAAATTTTCTTTTCAATTGCTTTTGGGTTGCTATTTCGAATCCCAACTCAATTAATTCGTAAAACAATTAATGCCTTTGCGTTTTTTTAAATTACTGTTATTTTTGTCAAAGAGCTCCCCATTTTTTCTATACACACCCAAGAAACTAATTATATCGTAATTTTCCTATTTTAGAGAATCGTTTATCGGTTAACTCATTTGATTGACCTACACACGCGTATCATACAGCAACGAAACGACCTATGCACAGGCGTAGTCTGGAGCGGAATGGCTACTCGCAGCGAGTACCTTGTCAGACACAGCGAATTCTCGCAGCGAGTGCTCATACGCAGAGAGTAAAATTGAACATGTTCAATTCAATTCGCAGCGAATTCAACTCGCGGCGAATAGCCTGTCATACATAGTGAATTCTCGCTGCTAGTGCCTAATCGCAGCGAGTATTCGCTATGTTTTACCGAGGCTTTAGTCTTCTGGGGTGACAGCGTATCTGTAGCCTACTTTGAATAAGTGTTATATGAGGGTGCCCATGGACTACAGTTGCTACTTACCATCGAGTGGCCTGTAAATTCGTTTGTTACTTCAGTTTTATTAGAAAACGCGATCAGATATCCACATATATAATAGAAATATTAATATCTATAATAAATATTAATATATTCTGCACTCATTATAGTTTTTACTAATTTTTACTACAAAGAGCATGTAATTCGTAGATGAAATTAAGTTGTGTTTAAAAGCGTTTTGATCAGTCAGTGGTCCTTGTATCATAAATAAAGACAGCTATGCATTACAAGCTTTTATTGCATCTCTATTTCTTATGAGAAATACAAATGTGTATTACTTAAGTTTTCTATTATATGATTGCAGTTAATTTACATATTCATATAATTTTAGACATAAAATGTTCATTAGTTACGAATTTTACAAAAACAAAAAGATAAAAAAATATTTGTAATTACTATAAAAACCGTAGAGTAACAGTATAACTTTAAAAGTATAAATTCAAGCCTCAACTTATAGTGTAGTTCAATTGCAGCACATCTACACTTCTGTATATAAAAATATTTTTAAACTAGATTTTATATCTTATACAATTCAAATCCCTTTAGCGTGATTAGTAAACTTATAAAAGTAAGCAATTTGTGTCAAAATATCTTTAGAAATACAAATAAGAGTAATTGAATAATTTCGTTCATTATAAAATTAGTCTGAATTCAGTTAAATTAATAAAAATCTCTGAAATTGTTATTAGACTAGTATTTAATACCACAAAACGTTTATTTTTATGAAACATAAATTCAATGAATTACTTCAGTATTGCAATACACTTTAGAGAAAATATTTTCCAAAATAAGTACAAAAAGTTCATTTGAGCATATGTTAATCTCTCGCATTATAAACTATAGACTGTAATAACCAGTCATCTTTGTAAAAAATACTCTCACTCCTTAAAAATACTAGGTAATGTCCTTATTATATATATTAAAAGATCACAGCTGAGATAGGACCAGTTCGTTTCCATATTTGGCATGATATTGCACTAGTCCCTCACAACCCAACTATCACTGTTCACCAAATTGAAAAGCACACATTTTTAAAAAGCATATTCATTATATCAAGATATCTTCTTCCCAGTCTTCTTTTTCTCTTTCAGATATTGACACTGAGGGCCTAGAAAGCTGTTTCAGATCTTCTTGCATTCGTTTGGGTATGGGGTTATCACTGAGGTCTACATACTCGAGAGCTCTTGATCTGGCTAATCTGTCGACATCCACTTCTGCAAATAAAAAATTAAGACCAATAAGTAATCATATTATTAGTTTTGATGTATCTACAGGCATATTATATCCTTATTCTATTTCATTAGCCTGTTTCATTCTTTTTCATTAGTCCACTCTTGAAGATAAAGGTTCACACGCATAGTAAAGAGAAACTTCCATAATCGGCATGCTTGGCAGGTGGATTACAGGCCGCGATAAGAGACGTTGGACGTTGACACATTTGAGACTGCGTTCATTGGATATTTTACGCCCGCTGTAAACGAGTTGCTGATACTGACGGCCCCGTAGCGCAGTGGCTTAAGGTGAAAGCTCCAGGGTGGCTCGCGAAATTCAAATTTTCTTGAGTTTTTTGGAATTTGCAGGTCAGGGTCAGGTTGAATGTTTAATAAAATATGATTCGCGACCGTAACGAGTATGTGTTTATAGAATTATTATCATTAATACAACCCTCTAAGTTCGTATAATCTCTTTGAATGAGTTTTTCTGGAAATAGCCATACGGTGGTAGAGCCCCGCAGCAGTTTTTGCTGTTGCACGTATGGGCCGGCTCGAGCCGGGTTAGTACCACGACCTCACAGAATACCGGCGTGAAGTAGAGGCTCTGCTTCTGCGTTTCGTCTGGTGAGTGCAGGTGGCCGGAGGCCCAATTCCCCCCCCCCCCCCCCCATCAACATGGTAGCGGAATTACACAGTAGACTACCCCAGGAGGGTACCAGTACCCCTGGAGAATCCCTCACTGAGCATCCACGACCATGTTATTCCAATCCTGAGCGTGGGTGCTCAGGCTGCCCCACGTATTCTGGGGGGGGGGGGGGGGGGGGCAAAATTCCGCTCAAAAACAAAACTGCTCGGGGCAAACTGAGCAACAATACCAAGGCGACCCCTGCCACGCTATCCGTGAATTTCTGCAACATCAGGGGACTTCACTCTAACCTAAACGCCGTCCACTACCATCTCGAGACGGCGAAGCCGGCCTTGCTCTTTCTGACCGAAACGCAGGTTTCCTCTCTGGCTGATATTACGTATCTCTCCTACCCGGGGTACAAATTGGAGCACTCCTTTGTGCCTCGGGCTGGAGTTTGCGTGTATGTCAGAGAGGACATCTGTTCTCGACGCCTCGGCAGTCTTGAAGGTACGGACCTGTCCATCCTTTGGCTACGCGTAGACAGCGACGACCATCCGCGCGTCTACGGGTGCCTCTATAGGTCCCATAGCGGTAATGCCGAAACAGACCGACTCATCGACCACGTCCAAATGGCTACAGATTCCTTGCTACAACAGGTCCCATCCGCAGATATCGTGATCCTTGGCGATTTTAATGCCCACCATGCCGAATGGCTCGGTTCACGTTTAACCGATCATGCGGGGAGATCTGTTTATGACTTTGCCTTGGCATATGGTCTGACACAACTGGTTACTTCGCCTACGCGGATTCCAGATGTGGAGGATCATACACCTTCCCTGTTGGACCTTCTGCTGACCTCTCATCCGGACGGATATCAGGTTTCTGTCGATGAAACCCCCTCTCGGCTCTTCGGACCATTGTCTGATCCGGAGTATGGTGCCACTCACGCTCCCTTCGCGGTTGCATTCTGCAGGTTGCCGCCGTGTTTGGCATTACAGGTCGGTGGATTGGGACGGAATGCGGTCTTTCTTTGCATCCTACCCATGGGGGCGGGTTTGCTTCTCGCCGGATGATCCCAGCGCTGTTGCTGACTCTGTCACTGATGTGGTGCTACAGGGAATGGAACTATTTATTCCATCATCTGTGGTACCCATCGGAGGCAGATCTCAGCCTTGGTTTGGTCGCTCCTTTAAGACTGCATTGCGCAGTAAGCAGGAGTGTTATCAAGCCTGGGCTGCGACTTCGGTGACTCGGGATGTAAACACCAGCACACTTAAAAAGAAGTATAACTTCGCCTCCAGGTCCTTCAAAAGAGTTATTGCCAAGGCAAAGTCACATAGGCAGAATTGGCGAGAAACTAGTTCGCCTTCCTTCGGGAACCCGTGCATTCTGGTCTCTCGCCAAGGCTGTCCAAGGGAATTTCTGTAAGCCATCACTACCATCTCTGCACAGGGAGGACGACTCACTGGCCCAAGACGCAAAAGACAAAGCCGACCTTTTAGGCTCCCTTTTTGCGTCCAACTCGACTCTTGATGACGGGGGGAAAATACCGCCGACCATCCCGCGGTGTGAGTGCTCCATGCCGGATGTGCTATTCTCACAGCGCTCTGTTCGCAAAGCACTTCTCTCCCTGGACATCCAGAAGTCGAGTGGGCCTGACGGAATCCCCCCAATTGTGCTGAGGACGTGTGCTCCGGAGTTGGCACCGGTCCTAACGCGTCTTTTCCGGTACTCCTACACCCAAGGCGTAGTCCCGAATTCATGGAAGACAGCTTTTGTCCACCCGATCCCTAAAAAAGGCGACCGCTCAGACCCGTCCAACTATAGGCCTATCGCGATCACCTCCTTGTTCTCCAAAATAATGGAATCCATTATTAACTGCCAGCTCATCCGGTACCTTGAGGATCACCAGCTGATTAGTGACCGCCAATACGGTTTTCGTCGGGGTCGATCAACTGGTGATCTTCTGGTCTACCTGACCCATAGATGGGCGGAGGCAGTAGAGTCCAAGGGGGAGGCGTTGGCCGTTAGTCTGGACATTGCGAAGGCCTTCGATCGGGTTTGGCACAAAGCGCTTCTTTCGAAGCTCCCTTCCTATGGGCTTCCCAAGAAATTGTGCAATTGGATCACCAGCTTCCTTGCAGATCTGAGCATCAAGGTCGTTGTAGACGGTGCATGTTCTGACTACAAGCCTATTAACGCTGGTGTTCCACAAGGCTGTGTGCTATCACCAACGCTGTTTCTTCTGCATATCAATGATATGTTGCTAACTGGTAACATTCATTGCTATGCGGATGACAGCACTGGTGATGCTCTATACACCGGCCGGGCCAATATTTCTCGGGAAAACGTCGCCGAGTACCGGAACAAACTTGTGTCTGAAGTCGAGTCTTTGCTGGACAAAGTCTCGGATTGGGGGCGACTAAATCTAGTCCAGTTTAATCCTCAGAAGACACAAGTTTGCGCGTTTACCGCTAAAAAGAACCCCTTTGTCGTATCTCCTCAGTTTCAAGGCACTCCCCTTCTTGCCTCAGCCAGTATCGGTATCCTCGGAGTCGACATATTGAGTGACGTGCAGTTTCGTGGTCACTTGGAAGAGAAGGCCAAATTGGCCTCTAAAAAGCTTGGCGTGCTCAGCAGAGCGGAACAGTATTTCATGCCGGCACACCGCCTGCAACTTTACAAGGCGCAGGTTCGGCCTCACATGGAATACTGTTCCCATCTCTAGGCAGGGGCTCCCCAGTACCAGCTCCTTCCACTTGACCGCATCCAGCGCAAAGCGGCTCGAATCGTCGACGACCGAGCCCTTTCCGATCGGCTCGATTCATTGGCACTACGAAGAGATGTTGCATCTCTTTGCATTTTCTTTCGCATCTACCATGGGGAGTGCTCTGAGGAATTGTTCGGATTAATCCCAGCCGCCAAATTTCATGAACACACATCGCGGCAGAACTCCCGATACCATCCACACCATCTGGATGATTGGCGGTCCACCACTGTGCGATTTAGAAGATGTTTTCTTCCTCGCACGACTTCCTTGTGGAATCGATTACCATCTGCGATTTTTCCGGACCGATACGACTTAGGGACCTTCAAGAAAAGAGCCTACTCCTTTTTAAAAGGCGCGCAACGCATCTGCAATTCCCCTGGTGTTGCGGTTGTTCATGGGCGGCGGTAGTCACTTACCATCAGGTGAGCCGCATGCTCGTTTGCCCCCTCTCCTATAGAAAAAAAAAAACATTGGAATTATACAAACATAGACGGTTGTATTGATGATTATGATTATAATTCTGTAAATACATACTCGTTACGGTCGCGAATCATATTTTGTTAAACATACAACCTGACACTGACCTGCAAATTTCAAAAAACGTTAGAAAATTTGAATTTCGCGGGCTACCCTGGCGCTTCCACCTTAACAATGAGTTGGAGCGCTAAAGGCCGCAGATTGGAATCTCGCTCGGAAAAAGTATTTGTGTGGTCTACAAATAATTGTACCGGGGTTTGGAAGTTTGTCTTTGTGAAATTTATGTATGTAAACTGCCCACATGGTACAGGAACTACGAAGCTAGTATATATATATATACTAGCTTGTTACTACTAGTATATTGACGTTGTTCTGCCCTTTCCGACGACCCTTCCTATGAAAGAATCCTTAAAATCGCAATAAAAAATATTGATGGTCACTATCCTATCTCTCAAGTTGGACCAAACTGCACACAGGGTACGAAATTTCATTGAAATCAGTTCAATAGTTTAAGAGTTCATCGCGGACAAACAACGTGACACGTAATTTTTATATATAAAGAAGATATATATATAATATATTTAGTTTAATTTTTTTTAATTATGAATATTATATTAGGATACTGCGGCTGTCCATTAGCTCCTATTTCAATTTCTCCCTGTCGCCTCTTACGACACCCACGGGATGATATGGTAGAATCTTATTAGAGTGAATTACGGCTCCGTGGCGCAGTGGCTTAGCAATCAGTTGTTGCGCTGGGGGCCGCGGGTTCGAATCCCGCACGTAACAAGTATTTGTATGGCCTACAAATAATTGTTCCGGGTCTGAATGTTCGTCCTTGTGCAATTTATGTTTGTAAACTGCCTCCACGACACAGGAGAAAATCCTAGTGTGGGGGCAACGTTTTTTAAAAAATAAATTATAAATAAAATTCTCTTACGCCGTTTATTCTTTGAACATGTTAAAATACATTATCACTTTGTTTTAACAAAGATCTTCACATGGTAGTATTATTTTTACTCGAAACATTACTTTCAACAAAAGTAAAAGCTTATTTAGATTAAAATTGATTACACGCATTGGGGGAATACAGCGAGAATACCTCCTTGCACCAAAACCTTCTCATAAATGGGAGGAGGGCTGTAGTGCTGGATGTGTGATGGTATACAGCGTGTAACTTTAACTTTTAATTAATTATACAAAAGTCCTAAGGTTTCTAATTACCTTATACATCGCGTCATGATATGCCGTCCATTCTATTTTGCATTTTCATACTGCTTAAATAATCTTTTACTTAAGATGTTGTTAAAATTTATTTTTACAATTTTTTTATATTAAGTGTTGTGAGCTTTCCTATCGAATAAACATGTTTGTATTCTATTTAAGAAATAATAATCAAGTACCAATTATTTGATTGTGGTGCGCCAACATTGTGTGAAGACTGGGACACTGGCAGGCTATATGCGGTAGTGCCACAAAACTATTATGTGAAATGTCCAGCCGTTCTAGACATGCTAGTGTGCATAATTCATCAGGCAGCCTAGCCATTTGATTATTAGACAGGTTCAAATCTGAAAAATGTAGAAACATATGGATTACAAATATGAAAATGAAAGAAATCTATTCTCTAATGATAGAATGCTTCTAAATATTATAAGCATTAATTTGATAATCTAATATTAAAAAATCTTAAATATTATGACGAAATAAATATCTTTTTAGTTCTATATAAAATATATATGGTATATATTGGATATTATATATATTGGAGGACTGATTAGATATAGTTCACACATATCTGCACCCCCTATCAGGTCGTCACTTCATTTAGTGGGGGGGGGGGGGGGGGGCTACATTTCGCTTAGGAACTTATTTACTTTTTATAAATAATATTTTTAGTTAATGACTATAAATCGTAACTCGTGCTGAGGGTACACTACAAAAAATTATAATAAAGGTAAAACACTGAATATAAAAACTCACCTGTGATTAAGCTAAATTTAACAGTAAACTTAGGCGGTATTTTAGTTATAACATTCCCACTAAGGTCACAGCTCTTTAGTTCTGTATGTCGCATCAAATGGTATACTGCATCAGGTACTTGCATCAACTGGCATTCTGACAAATCTGTAACAAAATAATAAAAGTTAATTATATTACTATAGAATTTCGAGTTATTGTGAGAGTTTACTGGTAAAATCAGTTTATAATGACATTATTACTTTCAGTAATAAATATTTCTAAGGATAAAGTGGGTGGGTAAACGAAATTTATAACATAAAGAACATAACTTGAGTCAGTTGTTAAATTGTTGGTATTGTAAACAGGATTACCTATATGCCAAGCATTATTGCCCATATATCATCGCAACATAAAATCTTTATAATAAAATCCATGAACCCATCTAACCTAACCTAACCTTACATAACCTAACCAATTTGAAAATGCAATAAATTCCACAATTCCAAATTATAAAATGTAGACTAGACTACCTAATTCTTTTCCATAGAATCATTCCTATTATTGTAGTAAAAGTAATTATAAATATATTAGGTCTTTATTTTATCGCCGTTTTAAGAAATGAAAATGTTAAGGTTGTATGTTACAAGTAAAGTTAAAATATACATATATAATGTATATTAGAAGCTTGCATCTACACCACATCCTAAGTGCACCAAATGTGCAGATACCTATGCTCGTTACTTATATGTAAGATCAAATGAATATGAAGTAAGGTCAACGGAAATAATATGTTCACTGCACGAAGCATAAAACCACATTGTAACTAAAGCCTCATAAAACCTGTTTCTTGCTGTTAACCATTCAATCAACGATATTATAAGTTAAATATCATTGAATCCCATCAATGGTCCAAGTTGATAATTTTTTTCATTGATGATCTTTTTCTTTACTAAAATTCATTTTCAAGAAATCACTTGTGGTCCTATTAACACATTATGTTACAAGTTAACAGAGCAGAAAAACTAAAATAGCTGAAAAGAACATAAATTTAGTTATGAAACTACTAAAAAAAAAAAGTAAAAAAAGTAGGTAAAATATGTTACTAATAGCTTGTCAAATCAACCAACATAACCTATTCCCGCTAACATTTTTACGTCATACCTAATGCTCCAGTTTCCTGTGCAGTTTCGCATCTTGCAACTACACGTGTTACTGCATATGCCATTTACACTATTATATTAAAACTTCACACTTATTAATACCTATACAGAACTAGAATAGCCACTGAGTATAGTTTCTATTTCACTCACGCTTCCATAGTTATTTTTATACTACAGTTATTACTGGTTGCTGTGCGCTCTACGCATGCGAGTAGTGTTTAGCTTTAAGTGAGTTTTACGTTTAAATATATTTTAGTTGTGGGATCAGCAGGCTAGAATAATGGACGAGAACCGTAATATTTTTAACTAAACAAAATTATAGCAAATACAATACATGACACAAGGTTTTTTTTAAAGTTGATTTTAAATTGTATATGTGATCAAAAATCTACCGTTACTGTTACATCCTATGAAAGTCAAAGTCACCTGTTGAACATAGGCTTTCCCCATAGACAGCTTTGGTTATCAACCCTGCCAGGCGTGACTAAGACATGTGACTAAGGGACACGCCACGCCTGGCCGGAAAGTTTGCAACAGCAGTTTTCCATTTATTAGTTGTTATTAAGAAGATGCTGCTGCCCATCTCCTGTTTCAGTTGCTCTCTGTCGTCTCGTACTACAGCCACGAGACGATATTATGGTGTAGCATTATTCATCAGTATCATTCAGATCAATCGATCAATCAAATCGATCATAAATAAAAATTGATGATATATTATACGTAACCATTGTAACTAGACCCACCACAACCAGATTCAGTGTTGTAAGTCGTCTATCGATGTCAGATTGCGGCTGCAGTAGTAGAAGTGCAGTGAAGAACCACAGTGTATTTATAGGTACACACAGGTACACACAGCGTCCTCTTACCAGATGGACTCTTTCAGTTTACTCTGTGGTGGACTGCTAACTGCAAGGAGTTAACCGTTATCGTTACAACCTATTAAAATTCAATCTCACACAAAGATTGCCTCGGGAAGGGGGGGGGGGATATTTATCATAGTAGCCACGCTTGAAGCGGATTTGCAACCGCAGTTTTTTTTATTTATAGTCGTTATTAGGAAGACGCTGCTGCCTATCTCCTGATTTCTTTCCCTCTGTCGCCTCTTACGACACCCACGGGATGATAGGGGGTAATAAATATTCTTACACCGCCACTACACGGCAAAGAGTTTATTAACCTACCTAAATCACCGAGTCAATAATTAAAACAGACAGACTTTATTAGACTTATTGTTTTAGGAATAAACGCGCAAAGTAAAGTAATAAATCAGTCAAACTAAGATGCTAAATGCATCTGTTGAGGCAACTCCTTAAAGCGACAAAGACCTCTCATTGTGCTATTTCCTTTAACTAGATACGTAATGTCAGAAAATAATAAGGTTGACTGGCATGGAATCCTTCCCTAAGCTTTTCTTTTAAGCATTAGTTTGCCTTCTGTTCCTATTAATCAATCTACAAATATATTATTTATTGTACACCAATACATATTAAAACGAAAACAAAATGAAATAAATTATATAGAAGGTACAACAGGCGGTCTTATCGCTCTGGAAGCGATTTCCTCCAGACAACCTCTTTGCGCAAAGAACTGTTGCTTACAATGAATTGCGAACAGGGAAGGTATACACAAATTAGATGATTAAGTTAAAGGAAATAAATATAAAAATACAATATAATGATAGTTGAGGATACGTATGATACATACAATTAAGAACGGGAAATAGGAAATATGAAGTAGATATGTATATAGAAGAAAAATGAAGTAGTATATAATAAGAATAGAAGTCAAATATATAAAGGCAAGGAGTTATAAAAGTGTAAAACTGTAACCGATGATTTATTGAAGAAGGAGAATGCATGTGCTGAAAATACGAAGCGAAATATTATTAGTGGAACACTGATGATAATTGTGGGAGGAGGAGATGAACTCAAAGTGGTGTTTCAGGTAACGTGGAGTGATGGGATTGAACAGTATTGCTTGCAGTATAAAGCAGAAAGGAACGGACGTTATTATGTAACAATAAAGAATAAATAAACTAATAAACAGGTCAAGAGGATCATCGCGAGATTCTGTAATGTATATTTATGAAACGGGTTTGAAAATATTGGATCTATAATATTCTTTATATGTTCAATTTTTTTTTATAGGAGAGAGAGCAAACGAGCATGCGGCTCACCTGATGGTAAGTGACTACCGCCGCCCATGAACAACCGTAACACCAGGGGAACCAGGGGAATTGCAGATGCGTTGCCGGCCTTTGAAAAAGAAGTAGGCTATTTCCTTGAAGGTCACTAATTAAATTATTCCACAAGGAAATTGTGCGAGCAAGAAAATATCTTCTAAATCGCACAGTGGTGGACCGCCAACCATCCAGATGGTGTGGATGGTATCGGGAGTTCTGCCGCGATGTGCGTTCGTGAAATTTGGCGGCTGGGATTAATCCAAACAATTCCTCAGTCCTTTCGATTTCACAAATAATATGAAAATGTTGAAAATTTTAATTGAGGTACTTAATGTTATCATAAATCAATGTGTAGACTCTATAGTTGTCACAATTAAGCGGCTCACTTTTATATTTATAACTTTAATTAAAACTTGTGTCCAGGGGAAAGGTAAAAAGTTAAATTGTTCCAATTTTTATTTACTTTGATTGCTGATTCATGCTTAGTGTTGTCGTTATCCATTGCTATATACATATGAGGAAGTTCTTTTAAAGGACAGTGGCCTCTACGAAGTCGTTTGGCCTTTTATGGAATAAAATCAATACCTACGTTAAGGTTAACGCGTTTAATATCAGTAGAGTTCGTATTTGTAAATCAATGCAAGACGTGCGAAATAGACTTGTACGGAGAAATACATATAGCTATGTTAACATATTATGTCGCATTCCATTGCCGTAAATATACACGTAACTTTGGTCTTTAGTGTGTTTAGAAAGTATCGATATGATATTCATCTTTATTCCCTAGCAACCAACTAGAACCCATGTCTATTGATAGACATGGGTTCTCCTCTTTAAATTTGTCATTATCGCAACAGTAGTTTCAAAATTTCACGAACGCACATCGCGGCAGAACTCTCGATACCATCCACACCATCTGGATGATTGGCGGTCCAGTAGGAAGCCGGATTGGCGATTCCAGTACAAGAACTCTCGTACCTTTTACACTACTTCCCGTCACCGATCTGGATATTTATTACGTCTGGCGTAAACAGTATTAATATTCCGACATCTGACGTAAACTAAAAAGAAAATAAAATCTTACTGGTATTTTCCATTAGGACGATGGATTTTTTTCTCTATTATTTCATATTTTAAAATTTTCACATTTTGAAAAACCGTCGTTGTATGAAATCTTGCGTTTAATAATGTAATAAAAATGTTTATTTTTAACATAACTTTCATTATTTCTAATTGGATCTACTAAAAATGATATTTTTAAAAGCAATAAATGAAAAATTTGTGATAATAACGGGACGTCAACGAAGTAATATTAATATGGTAATACAGTGGTCTTAATCCATATAAAATAAAAATTAATGTATTTTGATATGCGCTATGTGGATGTATACAATAGTTCAAAGTGGTAGATATAGAATGACATTGTCTTCATAAACTGTTTAATGTAATGAAAATATATTTTAATATAACATACTATTTTGAAACGAACATCACTATGAGTTTTCCGTACCGAGGCGGTGTTACGTCACGAGCTGCGACCGTCTGCTCTACTACTCTTCCGGGGGTTGATTGTGACATATTTATGCGGAAACGTTACTGTTAGTTTGTGTAGGTTTATTTTAAAATATTAGAATGACTTTAACCAGCCAACTGTCTACCTAATGGTAGACTGCTACTGCAGAAAAGGGGACACCTTCAACTCACTTCAGAAAAAGAAGGCCACAGATGCCTTATCAACTTGAACACTGCTGCCTTATCAACTTGCCTTATCTAACCCACGGGATAGATATAGCTAGTAGATTCTTTCACGCCAACGCATCACGGCAAATTTTTTTTGCATATTATTTACAAACACCTAATACGTAAATATATCCAACATCCAACCAGTTTGTATTCAGCGTCTGGTTGCAGACTAAAGAGTGTTATTTATTTCTAATAAACATCTACAATTTAGAGATAAATGGCTTTTCTTTGTATATATAACATTTAAAGGATTTTTTTATAAAGTTGTACAAAAAATTTTAAATTCCATTATTTCGTACGTAATAAATAAGATTTATGTAGCGACACATCTTTAAAGCTGAAGGTTTTCATTATTAGTCTCTAACAAAGCAAAAGGAAGTCACTTCCTAGGTTCCTTCAATGTTAGTAACATTAGATAAAAAGGGGAAAATACATGGTGTCACGTTGAGGATTAATTATACTGAATTAATTAAAGCATTTTAAACTAATCCGAGTACTAAAACGCTGACTGGCTGACCTCGCTCGTTTCAAAATTTTTACGCTATAATATCATCGTGTTTGCGAAAGCACAATGCAACAGAGAACATTCTCATTTATTTAAAAAAGTTGCGTAAGTGGTAGCATATTTCATATAATTATTAAAATGTAATTAGTAATTTCAACCTTGTTTTGGTCGTTTTAAAGTCTGGTTTAAAATCTTAGTTTTTCTTTTAAGTTTAGATAACAATCGCTTTCCTTATTGTTCGAAGACTTAAAGTGACATTAATGTAAAAACATAGAAAGTTAGTACTTAGTTGCTTACGTATGCAGTACCGTGACGACAGGCAAATTGAGCAAACTTTCTTTAAAAAGTTACATGGTACAAACATTTACCAAGTCCCATTTTTTTTTTGATAAATAGTAACATCCAATGCGATACCAAGAAGGGCATAACTATTTAATCTACATAATTTAATTTACGATGTAAAACGTAGCAAAAATATAAATAAACGGTTTTTCATATACGATATGTATGAAGCAAAAGCTGTCATGTCGTAAAATTTTTAGGTGCAGTGATAAACGCTAGTTATACGTTATTGCGGGTTAAAATGAAATAAAGTGTAAAATTTAGTGCAGTTCTCGCAATGCGGAAATTGTGTTGGACACGAAATTTTGAGTCACGTAAGCTTATAAACATTTGACCGCTAAAGAAATGTCACTATCAAAAGCCTTTTTAAATTCACTTGACTCTACTCTTTCCTAGTAAAACTACTGATGCTGAAGTCCGTATTTTTCCAGGATCATCAGTCATGTGAAAAGGTTCCATGTTTGTAAATCAATTTATCACCATCAGTCAGCCACAAGAGCCTCGTCTGTCAGTTAGCGGCGAGCATAGTGTGCAGGTGATGTTGGCATTTGGAGAAAAAGTTGGCGTATTCCGTATTACGTAGAAATAGCTTGAAGAGTGCTAACCACCTTGTATATATATATCCATTGCTGTCCGTTAGTCTCGCAAAACCTCGCAAATGGCTGGACAGATTTTGATGAAATTTTTTGTGTGTGTTTGAGTCCTGTTGAGGTCCCTGGATGGTTCTGTTTCACAAGTGGACCCGGTAGTTGGCGCTGTTGTCGAGATCCAGAAATCACCCGTGAGAAGCAGGGGCAGATCGCTAGTAATATATAAAATTCAAATTTAGCTACAATCGGTAACGAAATAAGCAATCTGATAATATTTAATAATATATCGGTTAAAAATCTAATATAATAACTTAGAGTTTATATTCGATAAAACCGTTACCACTAGTTTTAGTAATTTTATTTGATTTTTAAAATATAATAATAAAAAAAACTAAAACTAGAAACTTAATTATGATATAGTCCTAAATCATACATATATACATATATATACATATCCTACATCTTTTTTTTCTTTACATCTTTTTTTTAAACTTGGATATAATAATAATTAAAGCAATATTATTGAATTAGAAGTTAGAAGTTATTAGATAAATTAAATTAAATTATTTAAAATATTTATATTAAAAAAGAGTACCTAACAAGTGTGATAAATTTTGCTTGATACTGTAACTCTTGAATTGTTGAATTTTAAAATGATTATTTAAGTACCTAATTTTTAAACTTAATCTTTATTTTTTTAAATTATCTTTTTAGGCTTTTGACCTATCATTAAATTGTTGCATTTAAAGTTTCATGTTATAATATAGAAATTAATGTGTGAAATGAAAAAATACGTGGTAGAGCCATGCTGCAGCTGCAGTATAGTTGTAGCACAGATAGGAAGGTATGACCGTGGAAGGACTACGTTCTCACAGAATACCAGCGTAAAATAGCAGCTCAACGCTGCTGTGCTTCGTATGGTCAGTGTCTCTACACTAACCGGAGACCTTTTTACTGGAAACGAAGCATTCCATCTTAGTCGTCAAGGGTGACAGCGCATCTACATTTCGATTTTTAATTGAGGATAGATGTAGATGTCTATGGGCCACAGCAACCACTTAACGGTGGACTATGTGCTCGTTTGTCAACATTATCCTATAAATAATATGGAAATAAATACATCAGTAACATATATAATGGCATATTATGTGATGAATGCAATAGAATCAACGTTTTCATTTTATATAAATGTACTTCGTGCATTAGCTTATGGTATATTGTATGATAGAACGATCTCAATGAAACCGGATGCACGCATTGTACCGTGCTTATAGCGGAACGAGATTACAACAGATAATAGCAGGGGTCATGAGCGCGATGTTAAGTTTCGTGCATTATTTTTAGTTCTTTTAACAGTGATTTTGTCTGTGTGTTAACAAACTTTTACTGCTACTCTATGACTTGGCTTTTCCCAAGCGTTTATCGTCGCCAACTGACGATCGCACCTACGACCGCCCTGCACCAAATACTTGCGTTTTCCTTGCTTCCCGTTACTTAATACTTTAAATAAGGGTGGGTGGGCTGTTGCTCATTTGTATATACTTTTTCGCCACTGTCTGCTAACACACACGGTGGGTAATAAGTAATAACCAATAGAATAATGAAGTTCCGGTATTTAGGGTAATAATAGTTTTTTCTTTACTCGATTTTTACTGCCAAGTTTTTACGAAGATCCTTTCAAACGTTTGAATGGCCTGCAACCAGAAGTACACTGTTACAGATAACGATGATGTACGTGTGATAATATTATTCATTATCTTCGAATTAAGTTTAAAGTTAAGCTATTTTCCCATGTGGGATATCAGAAATTACCTTCCGAAATGTAAGATTTATTCGGTGAAATATTGCATTAAATTAAATCTTTCTTAAAAGTATTTTATACTATAAGTATCATTTATTTTCTATGTGCTAGTGTTACAGCATTATATATATTATTTGTAATAATAAATACACAGATTAAAGTATTATTTCATTTTAAATATTATGTTAAATATTGCGCGGTTTTTTATATTAGCTTAATATTTTAGGCCTGGTTTAAATTGTTTCAAAATGCAATATTTACGACACCAACTTTAGAAACAGTGAGACGAATATTAGTGTGTGGTCACATTGGGTCACATTTTATGACGACATTGCTACATCTTTGTTACTTTCGTGTGCAAAATAAGTCTTTTATTTATGCAATTCAAAGGTATAGAGAAATTAGGCACCATTTTTAAATGTGTCAGAACATAATATAAACTATCGACTATAAGTCTTTGACATAATTATGTATAACATACAAGCACCTAAACGTAGTGGTTATATTCTCTTTGCAAGCACCGTGTGGTCGTGTCATTACGTAAACGAACCTACCTATAACCACAGAATAAATAATATTACTACGTACTATAACTCTAACTTCTTTTTTTGTGTGAGGACCGTATAAAAGTTCAATTAAGGAGATTCCCAGTAAACTAATTGGAAAATGCAAGGTTTTCAACTTTCTTACTACTTGCGAGTGAAGTGAAAAAAAGAAAAATCGTGAGAAAACTGCATGTTACGTACTAAACACTACCAGAGAATAAATGCTAAAACTAGGTTAATAGCACGTAAATAGCGAAGAAGAGGTTAAGGCCATATTTATTGTTTATAAGTTCGATGGTCCTAATATCAATTATTAGTTTACGAATATCGACCCAATTGATAATAATGATAGATGCGTTCTAGTTATACGACTTTACTCGCAAATTTATTCAGTTTAACAGTTAGATAAGATCTTTAAACACGAAAATTGTGTACTTTACATTTTTGTTGACCTCGATGAACTAAAAAACTGAAATATATTACAAATTTTTCATACCTTCTTAAATATAATAAACATTAATTTCTGCAACTGTAGATACTTGTATATTTGAAATAAAATTAAGTATCTACATGCTTAGATAAGATATAAACACAAACTGCAATTGTTGCAAAGTAGGTAAACATGTCGTAGTTCCCCGATAACATAAAGAAGGTGATACTTATTTGATATCAGATGATATTTTAAGGATATAAAAGTTCAGTCAATCGTATAATTAAAGTAGTACAGTTAGCAAGTCATTTATAATATACTCTCTAACGGCTTAAGTGCATATTACACGCGTGCAGCAGCAGGGTTGATATTTTTTTGTTTTCATTTGTTTAACCTTTCATTTAGGTCTTGCTATTGCATTTGATAATGTATGTGTGTTCTTAAACTAAGGATAATATTAATATATATAAATATATATATATATATATTAATATTATCCTTATATATTAATTTACAATACAAACAATTATTAAAAATTCTTCTTTATACTATAATACGTAAACGATAAAACAAGAATAAGATTTTTTTAAGTGTCGAAGGGGGACACTAACCGAGTTGACTGTTTTCCTGGGCATCCTCACATCGTCCAACAACTCTAATTATGGCACGACCAGCCAACCGCGCGCAGATCATCATTGCTGGAGCCCGCGGATCTCCTTCTTCAGCCTCTGCTGGCATCCTCGCACCGCCATCGAATTCAGTTGGGGGCCTCATCACTGCACTTGCTTGATTATCACTGCACTCCTCAGCCCGTGAGGTCACAACTGTTGCACAGTCTATCACTGTTTTATTCCGTATTAAATACCGCTCCGAAACGCAATGCGCCTGGGTGAGCGGCAACCACTTTTAAAATTCGAACGCCGCAACCAAAGCCAGCCTTTATATCGTCGCCAAAACAAAGAAACGTGGTGCGGAAGTGAGAAGAAAACAATAACAAATCGCTATCTCGCTCGCACAATTTGTTGCGTAGTATTTTGCACGTTGATTTGTCGCGGAAGTACGAGGAAAATTTATCGCGAATCCCATCACAAAGAATTATTGCTCCCATATAAATAAACAATGATCCCAGACCTGATTTCAGATGACTTTTTGTCACGTTTGCAAGCAACGTTGTGGTTTCAGCAAACTTGTTATCAGATCAGGCTTTTGTTAATTTTAATCGAAGACTTATCAACGTCAGGTTGTTTGGTAGTGGACTTGTAGATGAAACAAGAATGATCGGTTGGTTGGACGGTTAATGTAATAAACGAAGTATATATAGGTATATACTTTACAAATAATAGAATTATATAGGTACACCATAATATCTAATAATTTCAACGGAATAATTTCCTTCTATTTAAAAAAAATATCTAATCCAAGGGCTACGGTAATTTTTAATTAGGTACCTACTTACCTAAATTATGCTTTTACTAATTTTAAGTAAGATCATATCATATAATTTTAGATCATAAGATATAATTTTATAAACTTATTAAATAGTTTCATAATGATGACCTTGATTTTATTAATAATATTTTTTTATCATTGCTAATTGTATCCGTAATTAATAAAGAAAGTTTTTAACGAATGATAGAAAAGGGTACAATAATTACAGGGTTAAATGAATGTTAACCTAATAAATATAAATTTCTTTTTTTCTTTAAATAATATTTATATCACAATTAAATAAGTATGGACAATATAATGTAAGATGCTGTTCAAATTTTAAAGCACTTGTGATTATCGTATTAATGTTCTTCCTCATATGTACCTAATTTAAAATCTAATCAGCAGTCTTTGTTAAGGTGCTCATGCAAAGAATTTCTAATTAGTCTTAAATTATTTGCGTCGGCTTGAAAAGCTTGACGTCTATGATTTTGGCGTACAGGTCGTTGTTTTTGTGTCTTGGCCAAACAGAGACGCAAATTTTCAATTTTAGTAACCTTGAACGCTTGCCAAATACTGTAACCTCAAGTCCCGTGCTCCCGTTCAAAATCTTTCTATAATATACTCGTAATAACGAAAGGTAAACATTTCTATTACGATTGTGAGGCATATTGACGAACATGTGAATGTTTGTCGCAAACAACATGTTTAGTGTTTTAATTTTATAGAACGATATTTATGATTTGGCTTCCTTTATAAAATACTCCTAAGTTATATAGTTGTTTGTGATTGTGCAAGAAAATTTAAAATATTTTACTGGGCAACTAATGACTGGACTTTTGCCTTGGCGTAGCTATAAACCTATATGACCTGCATGTTGCAATAATTATTTATCATTAAGATAAGGCACTGCCTCAGTACTAATATATAGGTAACTTTCTAGAGACGGTGGCACTACTATGATCGTATAATAAAAATTCTAATATCCTTACGACAATCTACAAAACTAAAAATATACTCATTAAAAGTTGCAATTATAGATGTAATTGTGAAGGGGTCTTTTGAACATTCAAACCCTCTTATAAAACCGAATTTATCCTTTATGTATTCCACTCCTCGTTTTGAAGCTGACTGCTGATTCCATGGACTTTCAGTAATTATCTCCAGATTGAATTGCAGTCCCTTGAGTGTGTGCGCAAATACAAGTGTACTCTCTACTTTCTATTCTCTCACTCTCATAGTCCGATTGGACGACAAAACGAATAGATCAGCTTCACATGCTTTTCGAGGCGCAGGGATGTATTAACGCCAAATTCCTGACTTTTTAAAAGAAAAACTCAATAACTAATTCTGGTCCGATTCGGGATCCGAACCCGGAATCTCATTATCAGCAGTCTAACTTACGACCACTAGAGCAAGCTATTTTCTATAACGTGAACGAGTGCAGGTAGATTATTAGGTAAGACATTTATCTCTTGGAAATAGAGATCATAACTGCCGAATATTGTCAAAATCGGTACAGAAATATAGTATAGTGATTATAACGTCAGCACAGCAATACATTCATATTTTACTATTTTTCATTCAATTAAAAATATTATGGGCATTTCATCTTAGTCGTTAAGGGTGACAAAACATCTGCCATTTGATTCTTAGTCAAGGATTGATGTGTTTTTTTTATAGGATATGGTGACAAACAAGCACACAGTCCACTTGATGGTAAGTGGTTGCTGTGACCCATAGACATCTACATCTATCCTTGTTTGCGAATCAAAATGCAGATGCATTGGCGTATGTGAGGACTAAGATGGTATGCCTCTTCCAGTAAAAAGGGTCTCCGGTTCTCTACACTCACCACCATACGAAACACAGTAATGTTAAGCTGCTATTTACGCTGGTATTCTGTGAGAGCGTGGTCCTGCCCCGGTCGAACCGACCCATTCGTGCTACAATTGTACTACTAGTATAGCTGCAGCATACCTTTACTACGTATAAACTCACCATCAGGCGGAATATGTGCTCGTTTGTCACAAACGAGCACATAATATTAATTCTATTAAAATTAGATGTGGAGAGAAATCTTAAATTTACCCAAAATAGAAAATATAATAAGTTCGTCTTCCGTTCGTCGAAGCTCCTTACATGAATTACTGGTAGAAAAATATTATCTCATATAATAATATTTTAAACGTGTTGCACGCAATGACGCACGAAGTTTTCTACCATAATGGAATCACTGACATTTAACAGATATTTTTTTTCAGCGCCACGAGAGTTGAGGTTCTTCCTTTGTGCTATTTCAGGAAAATTTGGAAGCGAGCCAGTTGTTTCTCCAAACTGGGTTCGACGCAGTTCACCACGTGCTCGGGTCTTTGATCCGTGTTGTTTTACAGGAATATCGTTCTTCTGATATTGCTATAAGACTGGAAAAGGCTTAATGTGAGTCAAAAAGGATTAGGGAGGACCCTGCGTGGGCAAGATGTGTAAATTTTCTTTGTGTAGGCCAAAAACAGATGGAAATCGCATAGTCGACAAAGTTTATTGTTGTTTGATGGTCGTAATATTTTGCAGTTTGCGCATATACCGACTTCCAAATCGATCATTTGTTATTATAAATAAGTAGGTAAAACATGAAATCATATGAAGCTAAGGTGAAATTGGATAATATAACATTTACAAAAAGCATTCAAGGTAGAGTCGCTTTTACAAAGAGGTGATAAAGAGTCATTTGGTAGTCTCATCGTTTAGAATTTTGTAAATGCATTTTCTAAGACTAGTGAATAAATGGAATCCATTTTATCTATTCACTGGTAGATTTAAGACCATGTTTTTGTAAGTTTATTTTGTCTGGTTGTTAGTAAATAATAATATATTTTTAGTCTATAAACTATAGTTTGATATTATTCGATATTATTGATTATTTTATAATGTTATCTGTACATACATAAAACATACCTACTGTCATCATCATCATCATTACAGCCCTCACAAGTCCACTGCTGAACCTGCAAAGGTCTGCCCTCAAGGAATGTCACAAAGGACGAATCTGAGTCACCTGCATCCATCGACTTCCTGCATGTCTCAGGTAGTCACTCCTTTTAGTGGGGGGCCGCTCTACTCTTCACCTACCGGTAGAGGCTGTACTAGAGAAACTTCCCCCCCCCCCATCGGTTGTCAATTCTTGGAGATATTCTAACAGTGGTAGAGCCACGCGGCAGCTTTTGCTGTCGCACGGATGGGCCGGCTCGAACCGGAGTGGTACCACGACCTCACAGAAAACCAGCGTGAAGTAGAGGTTTACCTCTGCGTTTCGTTTGGTGAGTGCAGGTGGCCGGAGGCCCTTTTTACTGGAAATGAGGCATTCCATCTTAGTTCTCACGGGTGACAACGCATCTGCATTTTGATTCGCATACGAGGATAGATGTAGATGTCTATGGGCTGCAGCAACCACTTACCATCAGGTGGACTGTGTGCTCGTTTGTCACCCTTATCCTATAAAAAAAATATGGCTGGCCCATTGCCATTTTAGCTTACTAATCCGTTGGGTTATGCCGGTTACTATCGTTCTACTGCGGATATTCATAAAAAACTCTATTGTCGGGTATTAGGAGTCTGCCACAATAATCCAATGGGTGATGTCGAACTTAGTATACTCTTGTTTTTTATTTCGTAGACATGAAGCATATATTCCATAATTGCCATGCTATACAATTTCTGTGTTGCCGCCGATGGTTAGCATTGTCGCCGTATAGTAGTGGCGAAAGAGTATTCACTTGCCTCATGTCGTCCCGTGGGTGTCGTCAGGGAAATACTACAATCCTGATAATTATTGGAACACCAAAACAGTCAACCTGGGTTGAATAGTTTAAGGTAATACCTAATAATATTTTCTATTTTCGTGACTTTTAATTAATTTCAGAATAAATAGGTAATCACATTTTGAAATTATGCAACTTAAGAAATTAACTTCCTATTTTATTTACTTTAAATAAACCGCTTTAGTAATAAATTTGATTATGATATTTTCGTTACGCGTAATGATGATGATGACGATAAAGTCACACAGATTGCATATACGTAGTAATAATATATATTATTTATAGTATATTGTATCTATGCCCATTTTAAATATTATGTGTTGACTTTTACTAATTTTGGCGCGATACATTAAAAAATAAAAGACAAAATGACAATGAACAGCATTATATTGATTGATATCAGGTTGGCGCGTCTTCGGCACGTTGCTGCGCAAGCTGTGCGGCGGCGCAGCAGTGCAGCATGAGAGCCGTGAGGGCGCATGCGCGGCCCTCCCCACCCTCCTCCCCCGCGCTCCCGTCCTCCGCTGA